GGAAATCGGGTCACTATTTAGCCGAGAGCACTGCTTACCGTCTTGGTCCGCTTTTTAAATTATTAAAAATATTATTATAGTAAATTTAGTATTTAAACTTTTCGATTTAAACCGACCTTTTAAAGTTAAAATAAATATTTCCGACTATATTATTAGAAAGTAATTAAAATAACGAGACGAAAATAAAAAATTATATTTAATAACTTTCTTTTCGAAAAAGTTAAAGGAATTATATAAAAATTACCTTATTTATAATAAAAAATTATTTATTATTATTAAAACTTTCGAGGAATAAAAATTATATTTTAACGGTATTAATTACGAGGTTTAGGTCTATACGAACTATAAAAATTTAAAATATTTTATTACTATTAAAGTCTTTAATATTAAATAAAATAAATAGTTAGAGTTTTTATTAGAATTTAACTTTTAAATTTATTATAAAAAGGGATTTAAAAACGTAAGAGCGGACGCTCTAAATAAAAGGGCGGACTACTATAAAAAAAAAGTAGTAAAGGAGTTATTACTTTTATTATAAAAAATAATAAAAGGTATATTTAAGTACTTACTTTAATAATAAATTAAATATTATATAATATACCGAAAGAAATTTATTATTTATAAATATTAAAGTAATATTAATAATAATAATTAAAAACGATAAACTAAATTAAAACTATTAAGGATTTAAAAGGACGACCGTTACCGGCTTTAATATAATAATAAGGCTTATGTTAATCTAATATAGCGGAGGATATTAATTTAGGAGATTTATAAATTAAAATTCGGAGGATATATAAGAATAATTAAAACGACGGAAAAAGTTAAATAATATTTTAATTAGCTAGGATTAAAGAAAGATATAGAGGAGACGTTACGGAAGTATAACCTTTATAAGAGAATAAAAGTAAAAAAGTATAAATTATATAGATTTTTAAAATTATTATTAATAACGGAATAACTTTAAAGTTTAATATCGATAAACTTTATTACTAAGTTACTAAAATCTAAAGACCTAACTACGGGCGTTAAGTATAATAGTATTTTAACGGTAATCGATAGATTTATTAAATAAATATATTTCTTACCTTATAAAAAGACCTAGACGGTAGAATAATTAGCGGATATAGTATTTCGGAATATTATAGCGATATATATATAGCTAAAGGAGTTTATTATAGATCGTAATACTAAATTCGTATCGAAGATTTTAAAAAGCTTTAATAAAATAAATAAGAATAAAGAATAAAGCGTTATTAATATATTACCCGTAAATAGATAGCTAAACGGAGAAGTTTAATTAAATTATTAAATAATACCTTTAAAATTATATTAATTTCGAATAAAATAATTAAATTAAATTTTTATTAATAATATAATTTACGTATAATATAGTATTTACGGAAATAACGAAAGTTATATTATTCTTTACGAATTACGATTTCGAGGTAGATTTATAATAAGGATTAGAGGTAAGAGTATTTAGGGCGGTAATAAAAGTAGGGAAGTTATATATATTATACGCTAAATTTAAGGAGGAACTTAAGTTCGTTCGGGAACGTATATGTAAGTACTATAACGTTAAACGGCTCGAGGGACCTCGCTTAAAGAGGGGGGATAAAGTGTTTTTTTTAATACGAAATTTATATACGAAACGACTAAGTAAGAAGCTAGATTACAGGAGAGTGGGACCTTTTACGGTCAAAGAAAAGATATTAGAAACAGCATTTAGGCTCAAGCTACTAAAAACAATGCGGCTACGATCAAACACCTTTTACATTTTACTCTTAGAACCGGTACCACGGGCTACCAATCCCGACACACAAATAGAAGCCGAGGACGAAGAAGAAGAGTACGACGTGGAAAAAGTACTGGATTCGCGCATTAGTAAAGGACAACAACGTCGAGTCTTTCGGGACGAAAGACGACGAGGGGGAGCATCGTGTCACAAACCAACCATATAGCAAGGCCAGGTGGAGACTGCAGCTGGCCACGCCTGCCAATCAGAGGAAGAAGACACGGCGGCAGGGCTGCAGGGTAGGACAAGGCTCACTGCTTGGCAAAGGTGAGCCGGATCACCACGCTCACCAGGTAAGCGCGGTGAGTTCTGAGGGATCACCACGGGTCGCTGGTGAGCGAGAGTGATCCAGGTACGAAGGTACTTAGGGATTTATGGTCTATATATACGGAGGAACTAGATAGCTTGTAGATAGTTCCGCAGTATGCAATCACAGCTTATATTCACGGTATCTTGTGTTTACATTAAGACATCTTATTGTGCACTGTTTAGCTGCACCGAACCATTATTTATCAGAAGTTACCTTCAACCGTGTATCCCTTTCAGAGGTTCTGATCAGGGGTTCGTCACATTAGCTGTACCGAACCAGGATTGTTCAGAAGTGCTTTAACTAGTGTCCCTTTTAGAGGTTCTAGATAAGGGTTCGTCACACTTTACTCTTATCGATTTTACTCTCGTAATCCTAATTATCTTTATATTAATTAAGCTACGATATAAGCTAGAATCTAGTTCCGGTATTATATAGCGCATTTATATTAATTAAAGGTATAAGCCGTTAATAAATAGAATAAAGCGCGGAAGCTATTAAGGCCTTACCTAATTCGATAACGGATGCTTAAGGTAATCGTAAAATTACGCCTCGTTTAGTAAAGCCAAATATAATTAAGGAGCCCTTAAATATAAAAATATATAAACTTTTTAAAGTAGTATCGTCCTAAAAAGAATATAAACTTCTTTATTACTAAGCTAAATAAAAGAAATTTGGATAAGTGGATTATACAAGAGACATAGAGTTAACTACTGTTTTCACGTACCGGTCTATCGGTCCTCTTCTAATTAGTTAGCTATATGGATTATCTCTTCTCATAATACCTCTTCTAATTCGCCCATACTGTGCCTACGTCTGTCCGTATTCATGGTCATGACATAATAGGACCGTAGGTCAGATAATGAGTCATACGCTCCTTAACATCCTCATGTTGTAGCGGATAATGCATCAAGAGAAGAAGAGAATCCACGAAAGAAATAACCTTAAGAATCCAGAAGCGTAGTTTCATCCACAATCGCCTACAGAATTGTTATGTATTACCAATAGAAGCCAGTTATAACTTCAGTAGAGGCAGCGATTTCTTATGTTGCCTAGGTCAAAACGTAGAAGCTGTTTTTGGCTCCAGCAAAGGCAGACTATCACTGCTTACACAAATAAAATAAAAAAAGCCGTTTCTGGCTTTAGTAGAGGCTAAGATCTCATGTCATGATCCTAACGCTGCCTTAGGCTTAATGGTTTGCGTTGTAATCATATGGAAGTTGTTTTTGGCTCTGCAAGGGGCAGAAGTTCCTTTTTATAATATTTGTTAAGCCGATGGCTCTGCTCCAAAAATGGCTCTTGGAATCAAATAGATCTACTTAAAAGGTAGTATTCGATGGCTGGCGGCTCCGTAAAGCGGATAGCTATCTGTCGACGGGATTTGAGGATTTGATGAAGTAGTCGAAATTTGAGAATGCAGTTCCTTGAAAAGCCACCTTGTGATTACCTACTTCCTTGAGATCAATGTGATTTTCCCAATGTTCCCCTTCAGGAGGGGAAGGCTATCACCTAGCGGAAATGCTCCCAACGAGAGCAGGTTCAGGCGGCAGAATTTGATCTGAGTGATTCCATGCAATTTGCGCATAGGCGACATTCTTGCTGCTCCATTGTACAAGTACGCGGTGGTATCGTTGCGGGTGGTCTCGCATGTCCGACTAAGGGCAGGAATGTCTTTGCAGTGTAAGTTGGTAAGTATCTCGCACATCACCAAGTAGGGCATGCCGACGATAGTCAGGGCTACGGGGACATTAAAAGGTCTCCCGGTTTTTACGATGGTAGCGTAACTCATGTTGCTGAGCGACGATCTTGTTTCAAGTTGATACTATGTTGCAATACCGAAGCAAGCTGAAAATTTGTGGTCGCGAAGTTGGTCTCAAAAGAAACACTAGAATTTCTGCGCTGTACCAAAGCCAAACGATGAGAGACCATGGTAAAATCCTGGGCGGCTGTAGCGTGTCGAGCGCTGGCAGAAAACATAGTTTCTAGGCAAGTCAGCTGTGAAGAATAGAATGGTATACTAACTAATCTTCCCAAACCGAGATTTCATCAACCAATTTGTGCTGTCCCTGACAATGGAAAAATTCCAATTCCAACAGTGGGCAAGGTTCGTGCTCAGCCTTGTGGGAGCATGTTGATGAGACAAGCGTGTAGGGCGGTTGGCAGCTGCCAATCAGCCGCAGTTTCAGGCAGCCAAGGCGAGGCGCGGCCGCAATTTATCCACAACAGTTAGTCCAAATAGCCAGATTGCACGTGCAAAGCCAATTTCAACGTCGCAACTCAACCTCCTCACACTCACCACTTTGCATCAATTGACAAGGCCATCAACACCACCACCTCATGTCATTATGGCTCACCAACCCAACTCCCACGCCCAAGGGCAATACATGCAGCAGCAATTCACCCACCAGGCCCAACTCCCCCAGCAGAATCACATGCAACAACAACAACAACACCCTCTCCAACAAGTCCACCAATCCCTTCAACCCCACCCCCAAACCCAACCCCAACCCCCGTCTCGAAACCCCCCCCGCCCCAACTTCCAAATGTCCCATCCTCCCACCCCCCACAAGACCGCCTCTACCCCGACTTCACCACCCTCCTCACCGACGTCAAATCCTTCGCCCGCACCCAAGGCTACGCGAGTCGTCATCGGCTCCTCCCTCAAACCAGCAGAACTGCAAGAAAGGGCAAACTAACCAGCCAGCTGACAAACCATGCTGCCTGGCGCCCATAAGGGCGGGCAACAGTACACTGACAGCCTGCCCACTCCAAAGGCATCCGCTAACACCCGCTGCCACCAAGACCGGCTGCCCCATGCGCATGAAGGCCGTGCAGGAAAAGGCCCACCCCTACGACGACAAGTGGCACGTCGTCGTCCAGTGCGCAGAGCACAACCACGAGCCGTTCACCGGCGAACCCGGTGTGAGCGTGCCGGCGCAGTTCAGAAAGATTGAGCCGGATGGGGCGAGGTGGCTGATGATTATGCACCGGGAGGCGCAGTGACCGCTGAGGCAGCTGACGATTGGGATTAGGATTAGCTTTGGGGAGAAGTATCAGTATGTCAAGAAGAGTGATGTGAGGAATATGTTGGCGAAAATGAAGAGGGAGGAGGAGAGGAAGGCGGCGCAGCTGGCTGCGCAGCAGGGGTTGCCTAGTAATGTGCCTTATACTATTATTCCTCAGCAGCATCAGCCGCCGCCGCCGCCGCCGGTGAGTGTGCAGCAGATGCCTGCGTTGCCGGAGGGGATGCACGTACCGGATCCGGATCTGGAGAGTGATGATGATGAGGTGGAAAATTTGTAGAACGGGACAAGATTGGAGGTCTGATATAGATTTTGTAATTCTGTGTGAGTCCGGCGAGGCCGTCATGAAACGGGGACCCGCTGTCTAGCGAGGTTTATTGTCGGCTATGAGTAATGCCATACACTTTCATCACTTTCATCAATGACATAAACCTTGCTCCTCGAAACTTGACGCGCCTGAAAGCATGTTTGTCTTGCAGTCCAATGTCAAGCGAGCAAAGCACCATGTTGCAAAGTAAGCGAGTCGTCAACAAGAGGTCACGACGAGGTATGTACTTGGTGTTTTTATTTACTCGATATACAAAGAAAAAGATGTCACGTTGGAGACTGTGTCACCACTCATTCACCTAGCTCACACCAAACCAACCATCCACTCTTATTCCAAAACTATCATCCAACAAATCACCTCCGCCGGCACACCTGCCTAATATTATCAATCTGCTGCAACCCATTCTTGACAAGAGGCCCCATCTTGTCAATATCCGCCTGCGTCATCTTGCCCCGCATGGCGCCGCCCTGTTTCCATGTAGACTTGAGCGACCCAACGCCAGGGACCAAATCCACAAGGAGCATGAAGATGCCCAAAACCAGATTTTCTGGATCGCTGGCAATCTCATACGCACTCATCGCGACACCGCCAGTGGACGCCGTGATGCTGGCAATACGGCCAATCATGGCAATGCGCGTGAACCCGGCGAGGGCCTGACCTGCTCCAGGCAAAATGAAGAGAATGGCCGACAGCACCCACATAATGATATCCTTCTGCTTCCTCTTCTTCTCTTCCTCCTCGACATCCTCCCCGATCTCATAAGCCTTCTTCATGGCATCCACCGACTCCTGCACCATGAAGACGCTGGGCGCCGTGGTGTCGATGACGTCTGCAAGGTCGGTTTCGTAGTGAAGGGCACCCAGCCGATGCAGCTTGACGATGCTGCGGAGATGCTTGGGCAGCTTGCGCAAATTCTCTAGCGACTGTCCAACTTCCTTCTTTGGGTTCGGGATCTCAAGGTCCTCACGAAGAAGCCGGACGCCAATCGCTTCTGTGCCGACAGGGTTGGGCAGCGCACCACAAATGTTGCCATAATTGTTCCCTGGACTCGTGCCGACGCAGCCAGAAGGAATGAGATTCAGATTCACAGTCCCGGCCATGGTATCGGCGTAATCAATGCTGAATTCCTTCATGAGATGATCGGCGAACGCCTTCTGGTTCTTGACCTCCATCCGGACAGAGGTGGTCTGTGACGCCTTGGGCGGGCAGCTGACCTTGGTGCTGCCGCCGACCTTGTAACAATTGTACCAGTCGTCGTTGTTGACCTTGCTGTCGTAGTAAAATTCGCGCAGTTTGGCGGCCCAGCTCTCTTTGACTGCCTTCGCGAAGTACCCAAATTTCTTGTCGTAGTCGGTCTTCATGATGGCGTCGTAGTCGGACACGGCTTTTTCCAACATGTTGGCCAAAGCCTCGATTATGTAACCCCCTGTGCAGTGGGCGTCCACATCTTTGGCCTTCTCGATTTCCTCGAGGGTCTTGAAATTCCGCTCGGGACAGTCATTTGGGAAAAGCAGGTCGATGTCTTCGGGCTCGAGACCTTCCAAAGGATCAACCACTCCATACCACTGATCAGTGTCAAACGACTGCAGATCAACGGCCCAGTCTGTGCTCCCACGCATGTTCAAGCTCTCGTAATACCTCTCACGCTGGGCTTTGGTCTGCTCCGACATGTAGGCCACCCATTCGTAGTCGTTGTAGACGAGATAGTCGGTACCATCGTGATGATAGGAGATTGCTGAAGGGTTGGTCTCGATGATTGATTCGATCTCAGCGTTGGAGATGTATCCTCTCGTCCCAGTGCATTTGCCGGGCGCTGCCTCTGAGTTTTCCCTGTCGCCCGTGAAAGTGCACAGGGGATCGACGCAGTCCTTTTCCGCCATTCGAAACGACCTCCCGTAGCTGGTTACGCCAACGACGACCTTGTTGGAAGGCATGCCCGCCTTGGTAATCATGCTCAACGCAGCCCTTGTCTCGGTGATGTTGACGTGCGATCGCAGGCAGTTGCCAGCCTCGCAGCCGTCAATGGCGTACTTGTTTCCAACGTCCCACTGGCCTGTCATATTGTTAGCGTGGAATGGAAATAAAACAGAGAGCACATACCATGGAGATCATAGGTCATATACACGACATAATCGATGTAACTGGCCATTGTCGAGATGGGAAAGGCCTTGAGGTACCAGTATGAGGCCGGGGCGGCAAAAGACACAGTTTTGCTGGATGGAAGGGTGCTGCGAACGCTCTTAAGCCAGGTCGAGTAGTCGAGCCCCTCCACCGGATCACCAGCGGTGGGCATGTTGTCTGGAGCTCCAGGATACTCCCAATCCAAATCAACGCCGTCCAAGTTGTACTTGTTGACAAAGTCGACAACATTCTTGCGAAAGACCTCACGGTTGGCTGGTTTGACAGCGTCGCGCAGGATTCTGTAGGTGCCCTCCTTGACGCTAAAATCCCAGCCGCCGAATGAAATGATTTTTTTGACGTCTGTCATGGTCATAAACCGGTCCCACTCGTCTTGCACATGAGAAATCACAACCTCGAATGAAGGAGAAACTTCAGCGAAAGCGAAGTGGATGTGGGTATATCTGGAGGTGTCGATCTGGTTCACGTTCATTCGTAGGCATGGCCGGTTGCCATTCCAGGCTTCAAAGTATGCGATACGCATCTGATCGGCTGGAGGGGAGCTCTTGATGATTTCGTTGCCGCAGTTTGAAACGCACGTGGTAGTGCCCGGGTTTCCAGTGACAGATTTGGTGATGCTGCAGAACTCATGGGTCATGCCACACTGTCCCCAATGATTGCAACAGACGTTGAGGGGGCACGGGTTGAGGTCCGCGAGGGCACTATTGTTGGCCGGTCGTTTCGTGCCGAGAACTGTCGGGCCACACACAGCGGTCTCGTCTACAGTCGGCATAGGGGGGGTCCCTTCACTCAGACAGATCTTCAAGTTGACTTGAAGATTGTCACACCCATTCCAGCCATATGTGTTCTTGTTGAACTTGAAGAGATCAGCCTGGGTGAGCTGGTGACGGATGGCGGTCTTGTTGCAGCTGTCAAGGGGTTGGATGGTGTAGTCGAAGCAACTCCCGTCGGCATTCTTCTTGGGGCGCAAATCTGGAAGAGACCCACGACCACAGCAGTACGTCTGCCCTTCAGCGAGGTTCGCACAGAAGCCAGACTGGGGATTGAACTGGGTGATGTAATCTCCTGCAATACCGCACTTGGTTGCCAGCTTATCACAGCCGTCCCCCTCAGCAACAACGGCGGTCTTGCATGTGCCATCGGCGTTAGGTGGCGGCCCTGGGGGAGGAACCCTGCCGTAATTGCAGCAAAAGGGTTCGCCTATCTTCAGACCGTTGTCGTCCTGGCAGTTGAGCTGGGGGTTGTACTCGACGAACTTGGCGATGGAAATGGTGCAACGTTTGTCGGCAATTTGGAGACAGGTATTGCCAGCCACCACAGTCTTGGAGTTGGAGCACTCGTTCTCGGGGGGGACTCGGCCCGCGTTGCAGCAGAACGTGGTTCCGACTTTGAGGTTGTTGCAGTCGAGGTGAGGGTTGCGAGATTTGAAGGTGGAGAGGGAAACGGTACAGCGCTTGTCGGCCATGTATTCGCATGTCTGGCCTGCCTGGACAGTTTTCCAGTTGGTACAGTAGGGATCAGGAGCGGGTACGAGGGGAGCGGGAGGTGGCGTGGCCCCCTCTGTGCAACAAACATTCTGGCCAACCCACAGGTTCTTGCAGTCGATGCCAGGGTTGTAGGAGAGGAATCGATCCAGGGAAATGGTGCAGCGCTTGTCGGCAATCGTCTCGCAGGTGTTGCCGGCAACCACCTGCTTCACGTTGGAACAGTACTCCTGTCGGCCGGCGAGCCCGCGAAACATGGAGCCACTGTCACGCGCGCGGTGCATACGGCTCTGGGCGGTGAAGTTCGACGAGGAAGCGGTTGTGTGGTTCGAGGAAGAAGAAGCTACGGAAGGGGTTGATGGGGCAGGCACGAGCAGTCTGATAGTCTCGCCCACCGCCTGGCTGGATGAACCCGCGGCGAGGCAGGAACCCTCGCTCCATGCGCGGATAGCCTGCTGAACCTTCGAGGCTGCGTCGTTCCCCGTATGGACAACTACACCGACAACATAGTCGGCACTGTACCCGGACTCGCACACCTCACCAATGAGGTTATCCGAGAACCCCTCCGTTTCCACCCGAGCAAGCAGGCGGTCAAGGGCATCTCCAGCAAGGCCCTGGCGGTGGGCCTGGGCGCCCACATACAGGCCGACGACGACAGTCCCAGAGTGGGCGAAGGCGACCTTGTTCTTGCCACACGAGGGCACAATGCTTTCCAGGTGGTTGGAAATTTGCTGCATTGAAGACACAACCCCGGCTGCGGCCTTGTCCGGCGCCTTTTGCCCGCCCGTCAACGCCAGACGAAGTGACGTTGAAGTCTCAACTTGGAAGACTGGTGCGCATTCACCGTCGTTGTCAAGAGATCTCTTGGACCCTCGGCCCGCCCCGGTAAGATCAGCCGTGCTAGAACCAGGGGTCAGTTATATTCTGTCGTCCACAACACAAGGGAGGACGGGAGCTAACTTACCAGACACGCAACCCAACTGGTGTCATGTCTGTCTTGATCTCAGAGAACACAGGCATTTCAAACAGCACAGTCTTTTCACACTTGGCCATGCGCGCAACGTGTGGGTACACGTCCCACTTGAGAGAGTCGCTCCCAGCGCTACTGCATGCCACAGGGCATCGATTGATGAGCTCAGTGGGAATGCGTTGTGCTGCTTCCAACCACTGTTGTTCGAGCTTTTCAACTGCCTTGGGGTCAGACAGATCTGGCTGTGGTTCGCGCTGCTGCATCGACGATCGGAAAGCTCTCAGAGTCCATGGGGAGCCCAGAAATCTCAAAGTACTGAGGTATTTCAAATCCTTAGGGCGACCACCATCGGCACCTTGACGCCCAAAAGGGCGAGGGCCACAGGTAACAACATGATTGCTCCCAGCAAATAAAAAAACAAAAGTAAAAGAGTGATAAAATGACTGACAAAAAGAATGACAACAGGTGTCTGGCCCAGTCCTGTTTCAACAAGTACAGACAGAGACCTACAATTGGCGAAGCTTCACGACACGGGCACCGCCCAATATATCCATGGTTCTGAACCACCTGTTGAACTTTTGCCATGGCTGGTCTTGATGCCGCATGTCAAGCTTTGCTCATGGATGCCAAGGCTTAATCACAATGCCAATTTTCCGAATCCACGATTGCTGGATCTGAGAAACCACGATGTAACTATACGTCAGCCCTAGAAAAGTCTAAGCATTACACTAATCTTTTTTGAAGGATGCCTATTGCCACCTTCTTTGCAGCATTCGATCTACCAGGACCTCTTCGGCCAATCGCGTAGTGGGCGCTCCGGGGTCTTGCTTCAGGGGCTCACAGGTCCATAGCAAAACCCCGACGGCATTTACAATCGTCGGAGTTTTGCGTGGTCTGGAACTCTTTAATTCCCAAAGACTGACAAAATATCACCCCATCTCGCTCCACATCCAGTGCTTTTGCTGCTGGTTAAATCGCTACCCAGGAGGTCAAATGTCGGATGTCTAGATCAAGATGAGGCTGGACTGTTTTGCATCCTCGGCCGAATCAAGATTCCCGGAAGTTAGAACTAGCCGCGGACCAATGCGACACTACGTTGCCCATCACACTCACCAAATATAGATGCAGTTTTCGAACCGTGATCCACTCTGACGGATGTGCCTGCGAGACACTCTTGAAAGGGCTCTGTCTCGCTCATCCCTTTCCTTCTTTGTTCCGTTGACACCATCGCCCCTTTGGTGCGGCTGCCTTCATTGTCATTCGTTTTCCAGGTTCTTTGAACCATCGCCACTCACTTCACTTTCGTTTTCTTTCCCATCACCTTTGCTACAGCCGCCATGCGGTCCCGCCTATCGTTTCCCCCATGGCTCCTGCTCCTAGCCTTTCTGGTCTGCCAGGCCATGGCGGGGCCAGAGTCAAAGTACGCTCACGCTGCTGAGCGTGTCTTTGCCTACATGTTGTACCGTTTAGAAGAACTTTCACGGCCCCCTGGTTTTGATCCTACCCGGTACAGCATTGCCAAAGATTGTGCAGTAGGAAAGGGCAGGCCTTGCAACTTGGATGAGGTAAGGATATTCCAGTGTCCTGCAGTGTCTTTTATTCGCCCTACCTAACTTTGGAACCCTGCCAGTTCATCACTTTCATCTCTGGAGGCAAGAACGATGGCAAACCCGCCCTGTCGAACCATCTTCCCAAAGACCTTCCAACCAACTGGTACACAGACAAGAGCAAGATAGAAGATGTCATCAAAGCATATGCCCAAGCTCCAGATATGGACGGCACCGTCAACGAACTACTCTCATCAGAGAAGATTTTGCAGTATTACGACCGGAAAACCAATCAGATGAAGGGTTCTGGCTACGTCGGCTTGTATCAGATCAATTACGGCAAATTCATCTCGGAAGTGCAAACGCGGGTCCAGAATATACCGGCTAACCATCCGCAAAAAATAGAGGCAAACCTCATCGGCCCGAATCTCATGCCTCTCATGGAAAACATCATCAAGCTGCGCAAGGCATACCAGCTCAGCAAGATGGAGGAAGAGATGAGAAAGTTGTTCCCGAATGATAGGAGCGACATGGTTTACAAGATGGATAGCAAAGGACAGGCGATCAAGCCCCAGCTGGAACCGATCGAGTGGCATTACCACACCGGCACAAGCTTCGCAGGGAAGACCTTCAAAGCTTTGGACTTTGAGAAAACACAGAATGATCCGAACAATAAGACGACTTGGGAGCACTTCCAGACCAAAATTGACCTCCTCATGGAGCGAGTGTACAAGGGCACGGCCGGGGATGATCGCAATCTCTCCAAAGAGATGAAAGCGCTCAAAACCCACCAGCCTGTTATTGACGCCATGAGCTCCCTTTACACCAAACGCACTGGGAAAGCGCCCACGAACCTGTGTTGAGATTGGATGTGGTGGAAGGCGATGGTGTGATTTGATGGGGTCAATGTTTTTGTCTTTTTGGATAATGGAGAGTTTCTCAGATACCTGGGTAGTCGGTCTCTAAAACTTTTTGTGTCTCTTCCGAAAACGGTTAGCCCAAAATCAGGCTCACTTCACCTTCGGCTCACCTTTAGCTCACCTCCGCTCACCCTACGCTCACCCTACGCTCACCCTACGCTCGCCATTCTCCAAAAACGACAACTTTACGCGACGCCCTCATAGTCCAAGTTTGGAGCCTCCCTCTCCTACAGGGACGAAAATGGGGCCGGATGGGGAGGATCACATTTTGGGACCCCCAAACAACTCCTCCACCAAAACGAGGACTAAGAAATGGGCTCGCTAGCGTATTGCTCTCCGTTTTAAGGGACTCTGGGTCGTGGTAGCCATTTTGACATAATAAAATCCGTCACTCCCTACCTACCTACTGCACAACTTTTCTTCTTCCAGTTCTGGCTATATGAAGAGGCCATTCCATCCATCCTACCACCTACCGCACAACTTTTCTTTCCCATCCCCCCGTGTCCTTGCTACCCCGTATATTACTACCGCAAAACCTTTCTTTACACACGTTATCGTTATCGGCCTTACATTTTCGCCTCTACTGTGCCTTCTACAATGCCGAGAAAGAAGAGCCCTCTGTGACGAACCCCTATCCAGAACCTCTGAAAGGGATACTGGTTGAAGGCACTTCTGAACAATCCTGGTTCGGTACAGCTAAACAGTGTACAACAAATGGCTTGTCTCAATCACAACAGTCTAGATACCAACGATTGTGACTTGTAATTGCATACTGCGGAACTGTCTATCTACACCAGCCAGTTCCTCCGTATATATAGACCTTGTGCCAAGCCGTGCTCAGTGTCCCAAGCCCTCTGATCACCTCTGCTCAGTCTGCTCAGTGCCCCGAGCATACTGATCACCCTGCTCGGTCTGCTCAGTGCCCTGAGCGCACTGATCAATCGTCCTTTACTGTGATTGGCTCTCTTATGCGTTCTCCCGATTGGTCCCTGCTTCCGTAGCCCCACAACCCGTCGTGTACCAGGGTTGTGACACTTTTATTTTCTTCATATTTTGTGCCTTGCACGCGTGCAGGCAATTCTGGCCCTCTGATCAGGCCAATCCGGTGCTTATTATGTGGCCTGCGAGCGAGCCACTGTCACGCAGGTGTGTTCATTCAGAGGCCTACTGAGGGTATATTTGTGGTGTTGTGGTTGTTTTGTGTGTTTTCTCACCATTTCAGTGTAAATAAATAGTTCCGTAGTATATAATTATAAATTATAATCGTAATATTTTAACTATTATGATTAAGATAAGCTATTATTATACACTGTTTAATTATACCGAACCAGGATTATTTAAAAGGACCTTCAACTAGTGTTTCTTTGAGAGGTTCTGGATAGAAGTTCGTCACATATACATAATAACATAGATAATAATATAGATAATGCTAAGTACTACGATATAGATAATAAGCTCGAAGATAATATAATAATATTAAAGGATTATTATTTTATCGTCATAAATAAAATGTCACAACCTTAACATCGGGAACGGTGGAGCAGTGCAAGGTCACCAGCCAATCAGAATAAGGTCGCGACGGTCTGGGCGATCATGGGCAATAAGACTGGGAAGTACAGTAATCACGGAAATACAACCAATAAGGAACCAGAGAAGGATCATAGCGATCATTATAATCATTGGGGAAGAGCGGAATGATCACCATAATCGGGGAGAATCAAGGTCTATATATACGGAGGAACTGGCTGGTATGGCTAGACAGTTCCGCAGTATGCAATTTACAATTATATTTACGGTATCTTGTGTTTACATTGAGACATCTTGTTGTGCACTGTTTAGCTGCACCGAACCAATTGTGTCACAACCCTGGTACAGGACGGTTGTGGGGCCACGGGAATAAGGGGAGCCAATCACAGTGAAGGCAGAGTGATCAGTGTGATCAGGGCACTGAGCAGACTGAGCAGAGGTGATCAGTGTGATCAGGGCACTGAGCAGACTGAGCCGAGGTGATCAGTGGCCTTAGGAGACTAATCACGGCTTAGCACAAGGACTATATATACGGAGGAACTAGCTAGTGTAGATAAACAGTTCCGCATTATGCAATTCAAACTTATATTCACGGCATCTTGTATTTACATCGAGACATCTTGTTGTGCACTATTTAGCTGCACCGAACCAATTGTCAAAAGTTACCTTTAACCCGTATCCCTTTTAGAGGTTCTGTACAGAGGTTCGTTACAAATTGTCAGAAGTTACCTTCAACCCGTATTCCTTTCAGAGGTTCTATACAGGGGTTCGTTACATAAAATAAGAAATAAATTAAAGATATATAACCTTATATAATTATCGATAAAGATATAACGTTAGTTAAAAGTATTTAGAAAGTAGGAGATATTTAAATAATAATATATCGAGTAAATAGCAGCATTATTTTTAACGGAAGTATATAAAAATTAAGGTATTTATTAAATTCTCTTTATATACATTTAAGTAATTCTTAATTGCCGATAAAATAATAATATAGTCGATATATAAATAACTTTTTTATATAATAAACGTTAATATATATAATTGTAAGGAAGGTATGATATTATATAATAGAAACTTAGTAAAGTGAGGAAGGTTTGCGAGAAAAAGTTAGGAAAGGAGGATGTAATAATGTGACGAACCCCTGTACAGAACCTCTGAAAGGGATACGGGTTGAAGGTAACTTCTGACAATTGGTTCGGTGCAGCTAAACAGTGCACAACAAGATGTCTCAACGTAAACACAAGATACCGTGAATACAATTGTGAATTGCATACTGCGGAACTGTCTATCTACACCAGCCAGTTCCTCCGTATATATAGACTTCTTTTCCTAGCCGTGATTCCTCTGATCAGTGTCCCGAGTATACTGATCACTTACGCTCAGCCTGATCAGTGTCCTGATCACACTGATCACCCCGGCCTGGCCTGCTCAGTCTGATCAGTGCTCTGATCGCACTGATCACCGTCCCTCCCTGTGATTGGCTCTCCTGGGTGTTTCCCCGATTGGCCCCTGCTCCCGTGGTTCCACAACCAATCGTTATTCTCGTCCATACCCCAGGGTTGTGACAAATAACTTTAGTAAATACATTAATACTTACTTTAGTCTTTAAGGACCAAGGTTAGTGGGAGGGGGCTGAGAAGCTGTTTGTGAAGGTAATGGAGACTCGCAAGACTAAGCTTGGGGCCGATCACCTAGCTACGCTGACGAGCATGGGCAACCTATCGTCGATACTTTGGAACCGGGGCCGGTGGAAGGAAGCCGACAAGCTGTTTGTGCAGGTGATGGAGACGAGCTTTCGCGAGGGAATACGTTCCAAACACGGTCAGAGATCCGGCTTTCAAGTTGTTCCAAGCTCTAGATGCAGACTCCCGCGTAGCAAACAGTGCTAGGCACTTTTCATCCACGCTGCGGGAAATTGAGAACTTGACATCATTGACATCGCAGTTCACTTCTATTGACTTCAATTCTTGAAGAAAGGTCTGTCGGTTTGTCGCCATCATGGCCGATACCTCTGATCCCGGCGAAATATTTGAGCCCTCCAAGCACCCAGAGCTCGCAGCCGTTGCCCCGATTCGTATCAAACGAGGCGCAGAGAGTCTGCAGATCATGGCCGAGGAATAGCAGCAAACGGAGAGCGATGGTCAAGATTGGTATCATTGGATCGCAATTGCTGGTTGGCTGAATCACTGCCACGTGTTAAGGTCCAGAAAAGGTTCCCGAAGGCAGGGCATATTCAAGGTTCACCAACGGTGTCATTGTCGAGGGATACTGCCCATTCGCCGAGGGGGCAGACGGGTTGGCTTACGGGCCGTCGCAGACAAACTTGAGCTAAACAGCTGATACCCTCCAACACAGTGATTATGATGAGGCCCATCGATTTGTTGGCTTATCTGTTTCTTACAGCTTCCTACTTAACCTGTTAGCGTTGAAAATAGCCGGGACGCTGCAGTGACAAACGGACATGAGACACACCGGTGCTGCAAGACACATTCCATGGGTCAGAGGATTACGACTCCACGTCTCGAGTCGAGGGGGATGCCGTTCATGAATATCCCGGCCGGCCTCTGTGGTAACGGGCTTATAACTGGTGTAATGCCCTTCACTGGGGATCTCCGACACATCTGTCTTCGTGTTTTATTCAGTCAAGACTTATTTGCGCTTGACAACAGCCCTACGGAGCATTCATCACACGTATGTCAGCCTTATCCACCCATCAGAATGATAACCCGTTACTAACATCTATATCTCTTGAGGCCGGGAAACATGTCGACTTCTGTTCAGAATCCGAACGTCGGGGCAAACCTACCGATACCCACGGAGAACACGGGTACCAACAACCCGGATTCTGGCGACCTCATCGACACTGCTACGGCTATGTCCGCCCTCGTGGATATCCTTGATGGCCAGCCCAACACGCCTCCCTCGCTGTACATCGACCTCGAGGGAGTTTACCTTTCTAGACATGGCACTATATCCATTCTTCAAATCTACGTTCTGCCTCGTCGCAGGGCCTACCTCATCGACGTCCACATCCTCGGTGAAAAGGCGTTCTCCACCCTCAGTTCAACCACGGGCCGTACCTTCAAGGACATTTTGGAGTCAGAGACGATCCCTAAGGTCTTCTTCGACGTCCGTAACGACTCAGATGCGCTATTTAGCCACTTCCAGATCCGTCTCGCAGGCGTCCAGGACCTGCAGCTGATGGAGCTCGCTACGCGCACGTATTCGCGGAGAGTCGTCTGCGGGCTGGCCCGCTGCATTGAGCGCGATGCCTCTCTGAGCACGTCGGTGCGGAGTTCCTGGATGACGACCAAGGAGCGAGGCACCAGACTTTTTGCGCCCGAACGTGGGGGCAGTTACCAGGTGTTCAATGAGCGGCCTCTCAATGAGGAAATCAGGCGCTACTGTGTTCAGGACGTCCATCTCCTCCCCCGGTTGTGGGCGCACTATTACGGTAAGCTCACGAAGGATTGGGAAAGAAGGGTGCTTGAGGCGTCGCGGGACAGAGTGGCGCTGTCTCAGACGCCCGGGTTCAATGGTAAAGGACAGCATATGGCACTGGCACCGGCTGGTTGGTCTTGGATGTAATCTATTGTGCGGCGCTGACGCGGAGACGGCACAAGTCGCGGTCAGGCACTGTCAGTGGGACTTGAACGAGCGGAGGGGCGGGCTGTTCCTGTGGCATGGTCACCAGCAGGTCCCTTAGGTTTCTGGGCCACTGGATATTTTTAGCTTTTTGGAGGTCAAATGAGTTACAAAAGCAAGCCACTCAATATTTGACGGGCAACGTCGCTCCAGCTTAGCTCTCAAGGAACTTCAAGGTGCCTTTAGGCACGATGCATGGCATGACGTGTTGCCTAACTCAAAACGTAGAAGCTGTTTCTGGTTCCAGCAAAGGCACTGCCTACACAGGCAAAATGATAAAAGCCGTTTCTGGCTTTATCAGAGCTGTGGTTTCCCGGGCGGCGGAGGGCTTTCCCGACGTCAATATGTGGCAGAAACGAAAGTGTTAATATCACTTCATTATCCAGTCCCATCGTCATGAACGAGACTGGTGCAGACTTGGACACCGTTGTCGACAGTTTGGTCAATACATTGCGCACCATTGGGGACAGCATAGACCGAGCAGGCAACAGTTTGATAGCTCTTGCGGAGACGGAGCATAGTGCTCAAGGGAGAGAGAACATGGAGCGGTATTTCAGGTGCTTCCAGACCTGCGCAACAGGTAACTATTGGTGGTCGTAAGTTGATCTGTCAAAGCATCTACTTGTGAGAAACACACCTACCCGTTTCCCTAGACGTTTTTGCCGCCGTTACGGCGTCGAGCAGTACCTACAGGCTGACGGATCCCTTGCTGTTCCTTTTAAAATCAGTTCTGCTCCACCATAGGCTCTATCATTCACATAGATGGCTATTTTCCCGCTTTAGCAGCATGGTATTTTGGCCTCGATTGTCAGCATTGGGGTGCTATGTTATTTGTCTCCCAAAGGGTATACAACAAAGATGGAACAATTGTCTCTTGTACTGGCATATATACACCATTCATCATCTCCTTGGACCAGCATCCTTGCCGCCGAGCCAATTCTGGCTCGCGAATGCCCCACTCAACGGGCATGGGCAGGATGTCTTTACCCCTGAGCCTGCACCCAGCGCGGCGTCTGGCTGTGGGAAGGTTGACTGCCATCCTCAGTTTCTCAATCCTCTCATATAGCGCTTTTTGGCCTACGCCGGGGCGCCATTATCAAAAAGCATCCACTCTCCTCGCTGTGCTCTCTTCCTAGTTCTCCATTCGTACGTCGACCTCCCCGTCCCTCGGCCGCCATCAGCTAAGCTTTGCTCTGGAGCACCAGCAACTTGACCTTTCCTGTTATCATCTTTTCTTCGGTCCTGCCCTGTCCTACTACCTGCCCTCTTACGGCTGCGACGAACTGGGAAATTGGCAGCCATGCTCATCAGAGGAGAGAAGTGGGCTTGCGAGGCGTGTGTGAGGGGCCATCGGGTCACCAAGTGCGGCCATTCTGGCGAGTGATTTCTGCCCTCGTTGCATTTCCTTTGGATCCTCTTTGGATGCCCTCCCAGACAGTAGGTTCAAAGGTCCGCGCTCCGGCCGGAAAGTGGCAACTGCCATGTAGCTTCCTCTGCCCTGCTTTCGCTTTTCCTCGCCTGCTTTTGCTTTCCTCGTCCGCTTTCGCCTCCGTAGAGAGTCGGCGCGGTGAAGATCAACACTCTGCAGTAAAACCGGCGGCCAGCAACCCCCCAGCATCCTTGACAGAGGAAACCTGCTACATAGTTTCCTCGGGTCTGTCATCGGCCCATTCCTTTTTGGTGCACAAGATCGAGCCCAGAGAGAAATCATTAGGTCGAGGCTCCACCTCCTGCATTTCCCCAAGATTGTGTTGGTCCAACGGTGTTCTCTCGACATGCAAGCCGCGTATAAGAAGACCTGGACAATATAATCCGGATGCTGAAGTTGCGGTCCACAGTCAGCCATTGGCCATTATGATGTTCGTTTTGAGAGAGACCTACGCGTGATATTTAGGAACAAAAGCTTTACGCTATAGTATAGTTTTGCATTGCCTTGAGTAAAGTGTAAGACACGCCTGGCAATGTCTTGCAGCAGATTGGAGTCGTACATCACTAGGCTGCAGGGCCGTATCAGGTTTTGCATCTACCCTCTCGCCGCCAGGCTCCAAGAATAACGACAGAGGCGGCCGCTCCTACCGCCACAGCTATGTCACCTTCTGATTGCTTAAATATCACGCAGAAGAGTCGGACCATCGTTGCGCTACGCCAATGGCGTCCACGTCTTCCAGCAGGAGACAACAGGACGGGAGTTCCACGAGGAGAGCGCCAAGGGAGCAACTCCTTGGAGTGGCCGGAGATGCTGGTCGACCTTAGCCCCATGCTCTAGCTCCCGTACAAATCTCGCCGTTATTGTTGGCTGACGAAGGTATAGCCGTAGGCAAGCAGTGGAACTTGGAACAGAACCCCACGCGGACCCTGCGGTCAAGGGGCGAAGGGTAAACCCTCCGGAGTAAGGATTGGACCATGTCGAGGATCTGCTTCTTCGCTCCAGGGGGTCCAAATGCGGAGGCGGAGATGCACACTTCGACGCTTCTTGTAATCTCATCCAGGTGTAGGGTGGCTGCCGAAATTCCTTGCAGGGCCGGAATCACAAACGGGAAAAGGGCCCGCCCTCTCCCAATAAACGACACTCATACTCTGTACGGCAGCGATCATATCCATCCCTCGGCACAACACAAAACACCTATGGCCTCCATCCCTTCGCCCCCCGAAAATCAGCGACTTCAAGGCTTGAGTGGTAAGGCCATTTATTCAACGAATCTCTATACGGCTAGGGACGGATTACGACCTTCCGGCACGATGGCCCATGGAAAGCAGAGTGGTGACGAGGGACCTGTCTACCCCGGGAGCTCAGCTACCTAAGGTGTGTTTCGGCACGACGTGTTGGGCCGCCCGAAGGCTAACCCCATTTTGGTTCGGTAGTAATATACAGGCTCCATCAAGATCGCGGTCGTCAACGACATGCTTGGGGAGATGGATGTTAGCGGAAGGTGAGGCGTGGGGGGTGCACTCGTGAAGGATGGATGGGCACTGACGGGAGTAGGAGGGTTTGTATGTAGGATCCGGGCGGCCGGACTTATCTGTCGAGCTCCGGCGTGCCGAACACCATCTGAAGTACGCATGAATATCTACTCTATTCCGGCAAAATAATTCCACAATGCTCTGGCTTAACCAGCCTTAGGATTACGAAATCTGGTTCTCAGCTTCTCCAAGACTTTCGCGCGGCTTTTTCACCTCGGATAATGAGTTTCAGTAGATGAGCCTGGCGAGGAGCATTAGTTAATATTCCGACAGAAATATGTATCGAAAATATTTTATACTTAATGTAAAGATTCTATACTCTGTATAGTACGTTGAGATTCTAAATAGGACAGCCCTAGAATAGTCTAAAACGCCGATAGCGTGTGACGAACCCCTATCCAGAACCTCTGAAAGGGATACTGGTTGAAGGCACTTCTGAACAATCCTGGTTCGGTACAGCTAAACAGTGTACAACAAATGGCTTGTCTCAATCACAACAGTCTAAATACCAACGATTGTAACTTGTAATTGCATACTGCGGAACTGTCTATCTACACCAGCCAGTTCCTCCGTATATATAGACCCCGGGACCGTGAGGTGCTCGCCCTGCTACGGCCCCGATCACCCCTAGCACATTGCATCCAGCAACGTGCTCGTCGTGCTATGCCTCCGATCATCCTTAGCATCTTGCATCCTGCAGACTGCTCGTGAGCCTTGGCGCCATAGCACTTTTGCCTAACCCTGATTGGTTGTTCCCCGACTTCCTTAATGATTGGCTGGGGACGCCCTGCGCCCCACATGTGGCGTGGCCTGCTGTTGGGTTAACCTGTGACATGGCAGTATCATCGAACCGCTTTCCTTCCTCGGTCAGCGCAACAATGGCGACAATGCCCGCGCCCTCCACCGGTTCTACGTTCACCTGGCATACAACCATTGGAACGGTCTCGTGGAGTTGAGTTACAATGATGAGGAGAGCACGGAGCGGTGGCGCACGTTCAAGGGGCAACAGCAGCGCGCAAAGGAAATATACGAGCGTGTGGTGCCGGGGAGTAAGGGGTATGAAAGGCAGCAGAGATGTGGTCGTTCTGAAGAGCCCAGTGTAGTATCGACCGACGGGGACGGTGACGGAGGTGATGGCGAGGAAGATGACGAGGATTCTGGTGGCTTCGGCTTCACCCCCGAGATATCAGAGGAGGTGTTTGAAAAGTCGTTGGAGGATTGGGATAGGGAGTTGAGGGAGGGGAAGGAGCCTCATATCAGCTATTGGCTGGTGCAGGAAAGGATCAACGCGACTGAGGGGTGATTTTTTTAAGCAGTGAGGACCATGCAGTATTCTTAAGCACGATAGACGCCAGTTTGAGCTTTCTAGCTCATACAGGAACGGCCTAGGTCCATTTGGGAAAAAACATTGTAATATAAGCTTACTAAGGACTGATGAAGAGAAAATAATAAAACAGGTTGTTTGGGCACGCGTGAGAAAGTCAACACCTCATATATGCCAGTGGATCATTGCGCCCATCACGGCTGGTCATCAAGGGACTTTAAAGTCCTGAAAGGATAATGCATTTCGTTAGGTACTTATCTAGATAGGAGACCCGTCTATATCTTCCCAAGCTTGTCTCTTTATCGCAATTCCCCTAGTTCATTCTCCGATATGCCAGTTATGACCCTTTAAAATCACTGCATTATGTTGAGTGCGGTTCCCACCAGCCGGCTGAATCCTCACTTGTAGAGAGCCCCCCAGTCAAAATCCACCGAGTCCATAAACCTCGCTGTCTCTTCATCCCCAAACAAAAGCCGGCTCAGCCTCGGAGGCAGATATTTCCAGACGCTGGTCTGCAACCCAAAAGAATGCATCTCTCCGTAAAGTTCCCCACAGTACATACCTTGCTGGACCATTACCATCAACTTCGCATGTGTTTTGGTCATGGAATTCTTCTTCACATTCCAGTCCTCACGATCATCGTTTAGGCCTTTTTCCAAGTGCGTAAGTTCCCGCTGGAGCGGTGAATCCTTCGAGGCTATGGTGCAAATTGTGGCCCAAAGAGTTTTCCAGCTCGCGCCCAGGAGGTCGTGAGCCACAAAGTACAAGAATGCGTAGATGACTGGCGTGACGAAGAAGTGAAAGTGAGTTGTGAGCAGTGGAAAGGACAATGTCCATAATGACATTACCAGTATGTTGTAGCTATGGGCTGGTTAGTAAAATGTCAAGGTCTGCAACGGTCATCGTCAACTCACAATGCAACACTGACGAGGTGCAGAAGTTCCTTCCTCCAGACGTCATCGAACTCCTCTTGCTTCTTAGCAACCGCCTTGTCGATTTCAATGAAGAACCTGTTCATGTAGAACTGGATTGAGTCCAGATACTCGAGCAAGCACATCCGCGCCACCTTAAAGTCGGCAGCTGCGCGTCCAATTAGTCACATCAGAGCTTTACTGCGATATGTGAAGGGCTATTCTTACCGTGGTTTAAACAGAAAGGTATGTCACCACACTGACAGTAGCTCGTGTACAATATCTCAGCTTCATACCACTCTGCGCATGCAACCGTTTGGGCCAGTGCTTGCTGGTAACTCAGGACCTCGCTTTTCGCATCCGCGTAATGTCGGACTAGCATCCCATCTTTTCTCTTCTCGAGTCGCCACCACGGAACGATGAGTGTAGATGCGCCATTTGAATGGCGAGGAGGACCTTTGAGAGGATGTCTTCCTCTGGTATGAGAGGCGTCGCCCTGGGAGACGAAGTGGGAGTCATTGTGTGTGGTGGGACGGGGAGAGCAAAACCCACCCGACCGATTGCGTTGTTCTGGGAAGAATTTTCAAAGCGGGAGAATTTATCGCAGCTGAGCTTACTCTGAAGGCTGTTGTCTTATTTGGTGCCTCTGTAGGTCGTGTCTTCCTCAAAAGGAGCAGATTACGTTTGATGAAGGGTAGCCTGGTAGCTTTCTTCCAGGACTGTTGGCCGCTACAAGGCAGCCTTCTGCCAGTCACGTTAGCAATTTCCTACCATCACCATTAACATGAGTTTTAACTGAGAAGAGATCAGCAGCACATCAATTACTTATGAAGCGTCTGCCAGGGCTGATCCCCAGAGCCTGGAAGCTGAGGCTTCAAGCCAGGTAATTACCTAGTTCATAGTTTACTTCGAGGAGTGATACATGGCAAAAGCCGTCGTCAACACAATGTATCTCATGTCAGGCTAGTCTAGGGAAGGGTTTAATCGCTTGACAGGCAACTCGAGCGTGCGATGAAGCCTTGTGGTACTCTCCACAAAGTCCGGCTCATTTTGACCATCCAGAAGCCCATGCTGGATGATAAAGTTTAGAGCAACCATAGCGTAGCCCGGTTTGACGTGACCTGGATGTCCAGATGATTAACATATGATCTGAGCTTCGAGAGCAACGTATGATTGCCTTGTAAGATGCTCTCTATGAGTTCTTCCGCATCAAAAAGCTTGAACCACTCCACCTTGTGATCGCATGGCTTAGGTTCAGCCCCACCCGGCAGTTCGAGCTCAAACAAGTACTCAACCTGTGGCTAAACAAGACCGACCTCGCCGATAGCAAGGGCATTGTGCAGATGCATATACGTCACATTTCGCATGACTTGGTTCTGGAGCGCACAAGATCTTCAGGAAGGGTCGCTTCCTCTCCCGCTACAAGGATCGCCACTTCTAGAGGCAGTTGGCCATCGGGTATAGTCGAGCTAGCTACAGTATTGTCGAGGTGGCCGGGATAGAATGCAGTGGACTGTGAGCGTTTCTTCACCCACAGCTTGATATGACCGTCGTCACTGCAAGTGAAGGCTGTCCGGTGAATCCCATACGAGACGACACCGAGAAGGGGTGCGGCAGCACGATCGACCTTGAAGGGAAGCTCGCCACTGGACCCATAGATGGGCTTCAACTCGTTGCACCAGCGTGACAGAATGGCAAGCATCTTCTCGTCGCAGAATTTGTGCAGAGTCTTCTCGACAATGGCTGTCCTCGACGCGGCGTCGGTGCCATCGACAAGCGCTAAGGTCCTTGGCCTGCTGGGCTCGTCGAGCTTCCGACCTTGGAGACCACGAAAGGCAGAGACAACCGAGGGGATGACAAGCCTAACAGTTTGATCAGCCGGCGGAATGACAAGATGGTAAAACCTATCGATAGAATCGATATACACCTGGAGACCCCACTGCAGGATGGGGAAACTGGCAACCGATCAAGATGTTAGCTATGTCCATATTTCTTGGAAGCAAACACGCACTTGTCACGGGCATTGACAACGTCCAAAAATGTTTTGTACTCTTTCGAAGTGGGAGTGGTTGACATGGTTGCTCTTGTTACTAAAGAGTATGAGCGGGATAAGAAACGATGGGAGCCAGTGGCAAGACAGGCAGGTTGAACTTTGAGCAATCCGAGATAGCACCTTGACATTTGGAGAGAGCGACAGCACGAGGAGATCTACAGGAGAAGGTGCAGAACCAAAAACGGAGCCAGCAGACCCGACGGTCTGCTGGCGAAGGGAACCAACTACCTGTCACCTAACCACCTGGCACCTGCCCGTCAACACCCACCCCTCGTCACTGCTGTTTGCTTCTCGCCTACCAAACATGTGACGGGAAATGGTTGATTCAGATTTCAATGTACCTGCTCAAACTTTTGGGTGGTACCTGCCTAGATATTCAACATGTGACGAAAATTTTGGTGGGAACTATGCGGTCTGTCAAGTGCGGTTATGCACATGGCGGAGAACAGAGGTGAATATGAGAGATATTTAGGTAGATAGAGAGGCCATGTCTGCCTTAAAAATCCTAGCCGCCCAATTCCACCTCAACTCAGGCGCCGAGATCCACGCGCCAATATCCATGGGATAAATTGCCCATGTTAGGAGGACCCAGCCTCTATATGCATTGATCTACGTAATCATGCCTGAATCATGGCTCGTTTGACACGTATGTCAGAAGTCATGTTTAAACTCCAACTCTATAACCAAATGCAAAGCCCCTTTCAATAAACCTTCCCAGCATCACCCTTCCCCTTCCCCACCACCAACCCCTTACCCTCCCCTCCCTGTCCCAAAGCCTCAACCACATTCCCCAACCACCAAGCATGCACCCTCACATCCCCCGTCAACTCGGGGTGAAAACTCGTCCCAAAAACATTCCCCTGCCTCACAGCAACAATATCCTCCTCCTCCCCAGGCTTCTTCACCGTCCCCAAAACCTTGACCCTCCCATCCCCATCAATCACCTCCTCCACCACCGGCGCCCTGATAAAAACCCCCCTAAACGGTCCTTCCCCCTCCCCCAAGAAATCCAAGTTCAAATCCGCCACAAACGACTGCACCTGCGTCCCGAATTTGTTCCTCAGCACTCTCACGTCCAACCCACCAATGAGTTCCTGCCCGCCTTGCTTCGTGGCAGAGGCCTCCTCCGCTAGCATTACAAGTCCGGCGCAAGTCCCCCAGACGGGCTTGTTGTTGATTTTGACAAACTCCCTTAGTGGCTCCAAGAGGCCGAGGCGGCGGGCGACGATGGCCATGGTTGTGGATTCGCCTCCGGGGATGATGAGGGCGTCGCAGAGGGAGAGTTGCTCGGGTGTGCGGACTTCGAGGAAGTGGAAGGTTACGGATGGGTAGTTTGCCGAGGCGCGGTTGAGGAGGGCGATGTGCTCTACTACGCCGCCTTGGAGGGCTAGGACGCCGACGGTGATGGTTAATGGTGGCATTGTGGCTGTGGGTGTGTATAGGGGTAGGGTTGGTGGTGTAGGTGGGTTGGTTGAATGATGAGTCAAAGCGGGCTAGAAATATATGTATGAGCGGTGGCTTCTAGGTTGTTATAGTATGAAGCTTGGTGGTACACAATAGTTTTGTTGATAAGTCGCCTTGTCAAGTGAGCAGCCAAAGTGGGGTGTGATATCTGTCGAAGGTATCTCCTGGCGGAATACGGAATTCTTAAACGTTCTTGACGAGTCACGATGATTGCTATTTCTGATGGGGCCGCTCATCGCAAGTCATCAAGCAGGTACCAGGAGGTAAGGTATATGCAGGTGAGCAAAGTGGTGACATGGTTGCTGGCCGGGTGGCACGGGATATGCCGGATAGGGGCGGCTTATTAACCATCTCTTGGTCTCTTGGATCCGACAAGAAAGTACTAAAAAAATCCCTCGCCACCCCAATTGGGAACGACATCGGACACTTTAAACACACACGGTGCAGGGGGCAGGCAAAAGACTCTTCGAGACTTTTCACCATTGGATGGTGCAAGAGGTAACCTCGCCATCGCCTCAACATCGCCGCGGGTGGTGACAGGGCCGTGGGGAGGAAATAAAGTTGATACGGTGTGGGAACCCCACGCTTGCCCAGGCCGAGAGCAAAAAAGTTGGAGGGGTAATATCTGCCCCTCGATGACCCCTCGTTGAAATGTGACTCTTGCCTTTTTTTTTCTTTGTTACGTGGAAAGGGCGCGTGGGCAGTAAGCCACATGTCAAAGGTGCCGGTGTTGTGTTAGTCTCCAGCCCTTTTAGGGCGTGGGATGTCCAGATTGGATCTCAATTGGCTTCAGATTAGAGAGATATCATCAACAATTTGATGAACCTCGGCCGTATGCTATGGACACAAGGCCAAGATAGACAATGCTAGTCGTGGCAGTGTACGGCATCAGGGATCAAGCGAGATATCCCCGTGAGCACAGCTGCTGGCCACCTTCTCTTTGGAAGCTAGGACGTTATGTAATCCCGAGCTACGTGACTGGTGTGCCGACGCTCCGGGTCCTCTCCGATCCGGAGGCAAGGGTCGTCAACCGCTCACGGCGTGAACTGTCCCAGACCCAGAGTTCTCTCAACGCTACAGTAGATCTCACACTGTGTAGAGATCCCGCCCTTCACGCTGCCATGCATGCATACACCTGACGATCGAGGGGTCAACCACCACGCCTGTCCCCTCACTGACTCACGAATCATCTTCCTTAAAAGATCAAGTCTTTCCCCTTCGAGGCAGCTGTTTCTCGACATCAACAGCATCGACTTCCTCAACCATCTATCTACCTATCACATTGACCGGCTTGACCTCCACCATCCATCAAAGACTCTTACATAACCAACACTACCAAACCTTAAAACACTTCTTCTCGCCACTAAAAAAGCCCTCAAAACGCTTTTCCCTATTAATATCAAAACAAATCTCACCCTAAAATCAAAATGGCCACCAACCTCACCAACGGCATCTCCTCCATCAGCGATGACTTCACCGTCAAAGCCGGCCTCGCCCAGATGCTCAAGGGCGGCGTCATCATGGACGTCACCAACGTCGAGCAAGCCCGCATCGCCGAGGAGGCCGGCGCCGTCGCCGTCATGGCCCTCGAGCGCATCCCCTCCGACATCCGCAAGGTCGGCGGTGTCGCCCGCATGTCCAACCCGGAGATGATCAAGGAGATCCAGGCCGCCGTCACCATCCCCGTCATGGCCAAGGCCCGCATCGGCCACATTGTTGAGTGCCAGATCCTTGAGGCCCTCGGAATCGACTACGTCGACGAGAGCGAGGTCCTCACCCCTGCTGATGACCAGTACCACGTTCAAAAGACCGACTTCAAGGTCCCCTTTGTGTGCGGGTGCAGAAACTTGGGCGAGGCGCTGAGGAGAATCAAGGAGGGCGCGGCGTTCATCCGCACCAAGGGCGAGGCTGGCACCGGTGATGTTGTCGAAGCTGTGAAGCACATCCGGACGGTGAACGCTGAGATCGCCAAGGCGAAGGCTGCTCTTGCTTCCGAGGGGGAGTTGGGTATCGCCAAGTTGGCGAGGGAGATTGGTGCTGATCCTATTTTGCTGAAGCAGACTGCTGAGTTGGGCAGACTGCCGGTTGTGAACTTTGCCGCTGGTGGTGTGGCTACCCCGGCTGATGCTGCACTCATGATGCAGCTTGGCTGCGATGGTGTGTTTGTTGGCAGTGGTATCTTCAAGGATGCGCTGGATGCCGAGCATGCTACCAAGCGCGCAAGGGCTATCGTCAAGGCTGTTGCCAACTGGACGGACAAGAAGGCGCTCATCGAGGCCAGCATTGAGCACGGGACTGCCATGAAGGGTATTAGCAACGCTGGGCTCAAGGAGGATGAGAAGCTTGCTGGCAGAGGCTGGTAAAGCGGAGATGGTGGGAAATTTTCTTTTTGGATTTTTTGGGATGGGAAAAGCGAATGGAGGTTCGAGTCTCAACACTTAAAAGCGCGGGTCGTGGAATGGGTGGCATCCTATTTTTTGACATCAATTACATTGTGAAGACTCATAGTTTTCTCATCTAGGGGCAATGAAGCATGAATGAATCGACATTATGACATTGAAACGTGACTATAGCTAGGTTTCTTTACACTCGTGGTCAACCATGACTCAGGGTGAGAGTGTCACGTTATCTGGGTCATGGTCACTACGGCAACTGTCATGCCTTAGCTTGAGTAATATGGCTTATTGGCCGGATATAAAGACACAGGATCAGAAGACTGCACATCTGTCCGAAGAGCCATGCTCCCTTCATTATAGAACATGTTTCACGTACGTGTGACGCATGGCTAGATGCCGCATCAGGATTCTGTATAGAATACCCTTTAACTTCTTTAAATAAGCACTACGTATGTACGGTAGAGAAAAGCTTACACTGCGTGTATCAATCTTTTTGCTTTTGGATACCGTCATCAGAAGACCAACGCTTACACCATCATTAACCACTCACCATTCAACATACCAAAGAACCAGCTGCTTGGGAAATATAGACCCTGCACAGGTAGGTATCGCTCGTCTAATCTCCCTCCCCATGGAGGAGAACGAGGAGAAACTAAGGAGATGGGCCGGCCTGGATATAGTACATTACATCAAGCCACCCCGATACCTGAAGTGAGAAAAAGGCTAATCCTATGTCACCAGATATTTCCTGCGCCGTGCTCGACCTTGCATGAGGGAGGATGGGTCGCCTCTCCGGGCCCAGGTAAGACAGTCATCTAACCGTTACAAACCTGATTCCTTCCTAATCAACAACTTCTACAACAACCCAGGACCTTGCCTCCTCCCGACACAACCTCTCAGGACCTACCCCGGCGATACTAATTTTGAGATGGGGCCGAACCAACGAAGCAAAGGTTTTGATGATCGTCACCGACGCCTACAACAAAATCTGGAACAAAGTCGGGATCCGGCCGTCGGTGTGGGATGAGTTGCTGCCGGTGGATTGTCAGACAGGTTGCTCTTAGGGCTTCCGTGGGCCGGGCCACAGGTTGTCAGATTAGATAGATTTTCTGCTCTCGGGAGTGATTTTTTCCAGTGCTTGACAATATCATGACTTTTCATACTTCTGTTCGGACATTCCACGCAAAGCTTTGTACTCCCCTCGCTTAAGTCTGTTGCTCACGAGGTAATCAGGTGTTTTGATAGTCGTCTATGTTTGTGGGGCACCTGACAAAGGGCCCGGGTTTCACCAGACCCACACCGGTTTGCTCTTAAGGCTGGAGTTTCTATTTGTTTACTTTTAGACTTGAACAACCAACAACCAACTTACTGTAATACCAACTGTCAACCTATTTTCTGGCCATTTTGGCCTCACTTTCGCAGCCAGTGGTTTTCCTAGACCACTAGCCCAACAATGTTGCATGTGTTAAGACAGTTTTGTAGTAACCGGAGGTCAATAAACAACTCATCTCTGTATATACATGTGTCCTCTACCTAATAATACAATCATCAACCATGAATTCCTTCCTTCCATTGCCTATCATCAAGCACAATAAAGGCAACCCAACTGAAATAATAATGCAACCCACTCCCCCTTCCCATCCCATCCCATCCCATCCCAGATCCCATCCCAGATCCCATCCAGGCCCAACACGAAAATAAGGGCAGACATCAACAGCAACACAAACCCATCCAAGACTAAACCATAAGAACGTCATGATCCCAACCCCCTCCCCCGCCCCCCCAAACCGAGAATCATTCAGTCCATGACATGCACTTTCATCCCGTTATTAAACAAAATGTATCTTATCCAATCGACCTCGCCGTAACCTCCGGACCTAATAAAGAAGCCTGCGTACTAACCGACGCCGCATCCCCCTTCGCATACGGCCTGCTCCCCGGCCTCAAAAATTCGGGCAGTTCCTCCACAATACTGCCTCGTGACAAATGAGTGTCGGATCCCAGCTCCTTGTTCTCTCTCTCCCCCTTCGTGGAGGCGGCGTTCGATTGCTTCGGCCGATGGTGCTGATGTGACTGCGCCTCGACATCGATATCCCTGAGGGCAACGTCCTCTATTACATTATTTTCTTTGTTGTTGTTGTTGTTGTTGTTGTTGTTGTTGTTGTTGTTGTTGTTGTTATTGTTGTTTCTCACCGTCGGCCCCTCCTCGGCGACAATCTCCAACCAGTCCCCGCCGGCCCCAGGCCGTGCCGGCGCCGGCTGATTCCGCAATGGTTTCGACCCGATCGTCAGCTGTGCTCCTCCGTTGCTGCCTGCCCCCCCACCGCTCGGCATTCCTGTGCTCTCCCCTGATGGGGGCTCGAGTAAATTGGGAAAGAGGCGCGTGATGAGAGGCTTGAGTGTCATGGCGCAGGCGACAAGGATGGATATGTGGATCTCGAGTGACGTCCAGTGGCTCGACAAGGCGTTGACGTAGGTGTAATCTACGTGCGGGTTGCTTTTCAACCAAACAATGATGCTGAGGCGGATGACGGAGACGATGCAGATGCTAGGGGCGCGTTCATGTCAGTGACGTGGCAAGTGCCTTCCAAAGATTGAAACCTACAAAAAACCAATCGCAAAGACGACGGTGACGGCGATTTTTTGTCGTCGAGGAAGTTTCAGTGGCATGATCATCGGGATCGGGAGGAGAAAGATCAGAAAGTCTGTAAAGACGCCCAAGCTAGAACAAGCTGTGAGTTTCCAAACAACGCGTTGGGGGGAGGGTGAGTGGTGAGGGTGTTCATACCTGGTGTTAACCCACCAAATAGACTCGGAATGACAGTAGCTGGCCTTGACTCTGGGATCCCACACAGACTGGAGTGGAATGCAAAAGGTGAGCGTGGTGCCGAGTGCCCACAGATTATGCACAACGACGAAGATGAGCATCGCCCACGAACATTTCTTCGCCCAGTCATACGTGAAGATGGTCACGTATATCACGCATATCGAAGTCTTGCTGAGTCCCAAGGAGACGCAGTAGAAGAACAGGGAAAAATACCATGTCTGGGCACTAGAATCAGTCTCTCTCATCTGTCGTAATAGGTCGGGAGAAGGTGCCGTACCTTGAGCATCTTGAGAAAGTTTTCTTTCGGCTCAATATCATATACGTGTTTCCCCATTCCATAGCCAACTTCCACTGTCATCACGGCCGACATGCCTGCAGCTGCGAGCTAGTAGACTGTTAGAGGACCGCTTCAAAGTAATAATCTCGCTGAGGGGACGTACAAGTGATGCAAGGACCAGCCAATCTGCGGCACCAAGACTCCGGACAATCTTGATGCGAGTCCAGAATCTCAAGGCGACAAATATGGCGGCGAAGCTAAAAGCGACCCAGACCGAAGCCGCTATCTCAGGCCCTCTGGAATCATGCGGCCAATCTTCCTTGGGCCCGTACAGGGCAATGAGTGCACGCTCTGCATCTTCTAGACTGGGGCCCATCGAGTCGTTATAACTGTCGTCGAAAGAATTGAGAAACGGACATGCCTATCAGCACAGGAAGCGCAGGACGGTGGTACTCAAACAAGGGCTGCTGGACATGGCTCTGTCTTGTCACAGACCCAGCAGGCAAGAAGAGTGAGAGAGTCAAGGTGTGGCTAGCTACTTGGCTCTCCAGGAGCGTGGATCTCTATCGTCTTTAAAGAGTGCCCCCGGTAACCTAAAGGCCAGGGTGAGGGTTCAGCAGCATCGCCTAGCAAATCCCCGCGGTCCCATCGCCCCATTCACTAGTATGTAACTTATGGACAACAGGGGTTAGTGGCATTCAGGGGTAGCATCCGGGAGCTTTGCTTGGGCCAATGGGTGGTAGGGTGCATGCTGTTTCTTGGGGAAAAGCCATCTGGGGTAGTGGAACAACCTCATCAATCAAGCGACCTCATAACGCAATGCGTACATGAAGCGATGAAACTGGCAGACCAGCTTTCGTCTCCCGAGCCTGGCGATGGGATAAACATGTCGGAGTCTAGTATCGCCCCGTTAGTGGTACGGGCTAGAGGTCGACGACATCCACTTGGCAGCGCCACGGCACTGACGGGTTTCTATCTGAAGCGGTAAGCCCATCACCGGCGTGGACTTGCAAATCCACAGATTACAGAACCGGTGAATCGGAATGGGACGAATTGGTCAGGGGATCGTCAGGTTTGCAATTCTGAAACCAAGGCTTGAATGCGGTGACAAAAATCTTGGGTTTCTCTTGGCTGCGTCGATCCAGTTATGCAGCAGTGATGCTTCGGGATTGGGGCGCCTGCAGCAGCCTCACAATGCGCGGGATTGTCGGAAGCTCTGTGTGGGCAAATGGGAAAAGATGCCATCTTCCTTGTGGAGGCAGATGGCTATTTCTGCGCGGCGTAAGAGATCTTTTGTTCCGCAGAGCGGGGGAGGATTTATTAGAAATAATCACGGTGTTGACCCAACCGAGTTACTGCGCCGAGCCAACAAGCTTTTGTGTTCTCTAGGGCAGGGACGATCACACCTTCTGCTTCTTGCGGCAGCCACAAATTAGCCACCGTCGACCAGCCCCAACAAGAGGAAGCAGACAGAAGAAGCTATTCGCAATCTCATCGAGCGAGGTCCGATGTTGTAGGTGGTCATCACGTCAGTCTAACACACTCAAATGTGAAACATTCACGGATCGCACGGCGATCTCCTCATTTTTTGCCTGGTGTAACCCTGATCTGATGATCCTTGGTGATCGGCTGAGCTGCCTGCCTCGCTGGCAAGACCAGTTGCCTGCCGGCAAGTGTTGGCCCATGCATGCCCCACCAAAATTTCCAACACCGCGGGGCAGCTGTTTGATGCATTGAGCCTTCAGATCACAAGCATCAAGTTCACTTTCATACTCTTACATCTTACCACCAAAACCAGCCCTTCAAGCAGCGCACGCCGTCTATTCTTGAATCATTTCAAATTGCAGTACAACCCACTCTACACTTCTCAACAACCAACACATCAATTCACCATGTCCGCCACACCCTTCGACGAAGATGACGACCCCATCATGGCCGAGTACAACCTCTTCGTCAAGCCCCCCCTTCCCGAAAACCGCAAGCTCGTCCTCCTTCAGTTCTTCAACAAGACCGCCACCGACCCTTCCACCCTCCGCATCCCCCACATCATCGGAATGCGCCACAAGCCCGAGTCTGGTTTCTACGAGGTAGACCTCCCAATGGACATCAACACGGCCTACGATCGCAACAAAGGCGTAGAGATGGGCACCGCCCTCACCAAGTCTCTCGAGGCGAAAAAGGGCGGCACGCACGGTTTGGCGGGTGGATTCAGCTCCGTAGGTCCCGCCGCGACAGCAGCAAGCAGAGGTCGGAGGATGGCCCCTGGTGAGGAGGAACCGCCACGGATGAACTTCGAGGAGGCCGCGAGGAAGAACATGGTGCTCAAGACGCAGACGCTGAGCGGGCATCGCGTTGCGAACGAAAACGTACCTCACAGTTATGTTGGTGTCTTCAAGGGCAGTAAGTTCACCTTCCTCACTCTTTACCCATTCCCACTGTCCTCTTACTGACCGCCCCCTCCCCCTCAGATAACATCCACCTAACCCCCTTCAGCGACACCGTCAACCTCCGCCCCTTCCAACCGCACCTTGATGCCGTCACCGAGCAAGAACGCCTCAACCGTCCCAACCCAAACGCACCCCAAGACGCCGCCCCTGGCGCCCGCGCCCCAGGCCGCGCAATCCAAATGTCTCTCAAGTCAGCCATGGACGGCGTGGCGACTGACACTATGGCTGACCGGACGCACAAGGTCCAGCTAGAAAAGTGGCAGCACTTGGATTACATGCCCGACGACACGAACGGTGCCTGGCAGGCCTACAGGGAGAACCTCTTGTTGGTTCCAGAACAGGATTTGGAAGGGGTCAACAAGGAGGGGACGAAGGAGGATGCAAAGGGCAAGACGAAGGAGGTGGCCGATGAGAGGGATAAGATCTGTGCCATGCCCGATCTTGTCGACAAGGTTGCGCATTTGAGGACAGATTGGGATGAGGAGAAGTATATCAAGATTATAACGGAAAAGTGGTAGTTTTTGGCATTTGGGCAAGGTGTCTTGGTGGTTGTCCTAAAGGTGGAGTTTAAGGGCGTTTTTTGTGTTTGGGGGCAACTTCATGTAAAGGGAAGGTTTTACTAGTATGAAGTACAATCGATACCCTCCCCGTCTTCCAATCGAACATAAGAGACTAAGGATTTGAGTTGGCACAACTCCTCATTGTATCTTGATGCATGTGCATACATACTGGGGTGTTGGAGAATGAATGGTGGAATATATCCAGCAGCCTGAAGCAGAATAACGGCCTTTGTCAACACAAACGACGGCTTCAACTTGAAATTGCCAGATTAACATGATACAGAAACAGAAACAAGACAGACTGTGCTATGGACCTTGTTTACAGACATGTCCCAAATACCGCACGCAAGAAATCAATAATTCACGTATGGCTATGCTCCTAATTTTAGACAAAAGATCACATAAACTTCCACACCAGCCTTTCCTGACTCTCCCTCCAGAAGTTCCCCGCCATTTTCCACCATCCGTTTTGTTGGGTATCATTGCCAGTTAGAGCAGCTTTCCATAAATACTATTGTGCAATGAAAAATAATGCGCTGCCAGTATAGAACCTGCCGTGCTTTGTGCGCTCCGCTTCATGATGCATCAAAACTTTTGTGCGATTAGGACGAAAAGAAAATCCAGGATTGACACCTATCAAAGATCCTTCTGGCCTCAGCGGTACGAGATCCTGCCAAACCTGGCACTGCTCATTAATTACTGTAGAAGCTCGACATCCAACCCAATGCTGCGCATGAAGAGGTTCACATTCTGGAGACGCTGGGCGCCCATGTCTGCGGGGAGTGTCTTTGACAAAGCGACCGTGTCCATGACGCGGTCCTTGACAGCAAGTACAAGCCTCTGCTGCTGCTCTGGGCTAGCTCCTATGCCAAGCGCCGCGAGCAGTTGCCATACGTAAATGTCATCGGCTGTGTTCACAGAGCCAGGGAACATATAGGGAAGCGTAGGTTCGAGACGATCGAAAAAGTCAGTGTGACACATGTCCCTGTATTTCGTTAGCCATGGTCGCGGTGGTATTGGGTGAATATCAACTTACCAAGCCTGCCAGGATGGATGAGTGTTTCCAACATTAACCTTAATAATTTCGGCGCGGCTCAGGATCATGGTGATCATGGAAGCTCCGATGCGACTCTTTGCAATAATGTCCAATCGTTGCTTGGAAAGAATAGACAACAGACCGGCAACGATGTCAAGATCGAGCTCGTTCAAGAAGTTGAAGAGCGTATTCATGACGGCGTTGGAGAAAATGTGAATATTCTCGCGCATTGCAGCTGTCAGCTGGACCGCGGCGGACGTCACCTGGGCGTTGACAACAACATCAAGCTTGTCAAGATTGACGATAACCAAGGTGAGAATGGTGGTGCGCTGCTCCTGGCTGAGATGGCGGAAGATCCTGTTCATAGCCTTCATACCCTTGTTATATGACAGAAGCGCAACAAAAGGATGGGGGTGTCCCGGTTGAGGTTCATCGTAGACTCTCAGCGCGGACCACAGATCCTGGTTCAGGGCTTGGGCTTCGTTGCTCCAACGCATGCCCCGCTGGTGACCTTCAACATCGGTGTCGCTTGTAGGGGGAGGTGGCAGGACGCGGTCGTGGTCTTCCATCTTCATGAGTATGGTATAGATGCGTTCAATGGTGCGCAGATCACTCTTACGATCGCCGGCACTGACGACCTTGTGCGCACTGCTAGGACGGTTGGCATCATCGGTGCTCTCTGTGCGCTTGATGTTAAGCAGCGGCTTGGGTGTCTTGGCGTTGCTGAATGAAATTTTGCCCAGACTTCCCTCGATGACGAGTTGCTTGTTCTTGGGCTTGTTCTTGGCAGCTTCAACAGCTCGCTGGACCTGCTGTTCCATACGCTGCATATGATTCTCAGGGCCTCGGTGGCGACGCATGTGACCCGACCTGTTGCCAGTCTGGAAAAGATAGGTCTGTGCAAAGTTGTTGAGCGGCTGGTTGGGGTGTTGCCTTTGACCGCCCTGAAGCGAGCTATGAACTTGATAGTAAAAATCTTCGGTAAGCGACTCATCAGTCCCGTGCTCGTTCGGGTTGCCAGTGGCGGCAACAAGCTGCTGAAGCTGAATGCGTGTGACGAAGCTTTTGTCCTGGGGTGTCATGACACCGTTGTCACGAGACATCAGGTAGATCTTGTGGTTCCGTTTAGCGCGCTTAGCCTCCTGTTCCATGTAGGCGGCCCTTTGCTCTTCGGTAAGCTGGGACACCTGGGATGGATGCGTTATGATGTTGGGCTGTCTCCCGAAAGAACCCTGCTGTCTATGGGCGGGTTGAGTTGGGGGGGCAGAAGGCCCTGGTACCGGAGGCGTGGGATGCTGCTGCATCCCCATTCTAGCGGCATCTCCAGAGAGACGATTCGGATTCTGCAAGATTTGAGTTGGCTGAACAGAAGTCGATGACGGTTGCCGTTGATGAGCAGCAGGTTGGACCGGGGGCTGGGGCGAAGGCGCTTGGGTGGACTGAGGTCTTTGCAGTACGTGAATCGGGAGAGCTTGTCTGGTATGATCAACCGGGGGAACAAATTGTTGCTGAGCCGGTTGAGCAAATTGAATGGCCGGGTCATAAGGGATTTGCGAAGGGCCTTGAGCATGAGGAGCCGGAGATGGTGTAGCTTGGGCAGCCTTGGCCTGGGCCTGAGCCTTCATTTGAGCCTCGACTTCCTCCAGGCTTAGAATCTTGCGACTGGGCGCGGAACTCGACTGGGCAGCCTGCTGGGAGACCTGAGGGGCAGGCTGTGCCGGCTTCTTCGGCGCCACACCCCAGAGAGAGGCATCGACCTGCAATTCGGGAACCGGCTCGTTGTTGTTGTACTTGTCATTTGAATACTTCTCGTAGCCGGTGCGATAGTGGCCCTGAGATGTATAGCCGTACGAGGCTGCGCTTTGAAGAGACGGCTGACCGTAAGACATCTGCTGGACAGGCTGGGCAGGCTGGGCGGACCGGGCCGGCGGCTGTTGACGGTTGAAAAGATAATGTTCCTCCTCGATGGCATTCTGAACCTTGGCAGTTTGCGAGAAGAAATCAAAATCCTTGCCAACAGGCGCGGCAGCTATGTCACTAGTATCCCCGAAAGTATCATCGTTGTAGGCGTCCTTGGTTTCTTCGAGCTGATCTCCAAGCCCGTCATAGGTGTCTTCAAACTCCAAAGCATCGCCATCGTCGTCTCGGCCAGAAAGGCCTTGGAAGGGATTGTGGGCCTGTGAAAAGCCAGTGGCCGCCGTGTTATGGCCGTTATTGAATCCAAAGAACGACATGATTGCGACTTCGGTGGAAGGTGCAGAGACGCAGAGGTCGAGAGAATTACTAAACGAGGGATATTAGCCACTGATGCGATAATGATACTGTGAAAGCCCATGGCCGAAGTTGGGCAGAATCAAGGGGGCAGCCCTGGCGGTTGCGTCAAGGCATAGTCGACGCCGGAGGCTCCAAATGGCGCAGCCAGACCCGTTGGTCGCGGGCAAAGGCGATCCACATGCACATGGCTAGTAAGGGGAAGGAAATGTGTAGTACTTACAGCGTGGAAAATAGAGATAGCCTTGTGGTCGAGTCGGTCAAATATCATGATGATGTGATCGATGCGACCAGATTGCGAAGGTGGGATGGCCGGAACAAGCGAACCGTGAAGGCGGCAGGCTTGTGGATGGAGCTGTATACTGCTGAAAAGAAACACAACAAACTCGAGCCCGAATACAGAAACAAGATCGCGGCAAAGCGCCGCGGGAAAACAAACAGGTGGCGAGGCAAAGGAAAGGGACGAAGTGAATAGGTATCCAGGTGGATGAGGTAACCTTGGAGTTGGAGGTTGCGAGAGCCAGTGGGTCATCACCGTGGCTCACCCCAAAGAATGGAGCGCTAAGTGGGATATGTAAATGATCCGGTTGACCAATAGGCGTTGCCATTGACCCCGGATTATCTCGGATTATTGCTGTGGTGGTGGGGAAGTGGGTGAGTCGTGCACGGAGCACACAATCCTCCTGCAACACCCCGCGTCTGACAACTTCAGCCAAATCTTCAGAGGTTTGGTTCTGCCCGTTGCATTTACAGCGGGACCAACTGCTCCTGGATATTTTAAGCCTGCTCCCAATATCCATACTGCCCTGGACCGAGTATCGTAATGCTTGCTTTCAACTACCATCTATCACATGTTACTTTGGCGAAGCATCACTGCTTGTATGGAAGTTCTGCACAACAGCCTACCTTTAAGCAACCTCCCTGTCTCTAGGTATCAGTTGGACGACCAACAACATGAACCAACAGGGCAAGCATGCCTCTCTAAAGAATGCCTACGAGCCGTTGGGTAAGAATCAGTTTTGCCCAGCTCCTTGCTGCACAAACCGTCTTTTAGTTGCGGCGCCGTCACTCGGAAGATTCAAGCATCGGCAGTGTCCCACATCAAGCCCCACGCGGAGAGCAGCCCGGTTCCTGGCGGCGCGGGACCTGCGGATCGGATCTCCCTCCAGCTAGGTACTGTCGGATAGCAAGAGGAATTCAAAGGGTCCAAACTGCAGGCAATATAGAGTCACCTGCGTGTTTTCTATGGCCCCAAGCATCTGTGGCATTCTGCTTGCATTGCATTGTCGCTGTCCCCAAGCGAGGCAGGGTCTTCGGCGTCCGAAGGGCTGGAGATGCAAGGATTTTACGAGATTTGGCGACCTTTGTGACAAAAGGTTCCATCATATCTTGGGGTCTATGTGGATTGGTTGTGTGACAGTTAGAGGTGTACCTGAGGAGCACTGAGACCATCCCTTAATTCCCTGGACTTTTTTGGCGCTTGGCCCCAAGGGACAGAACGTCCGCTCTATTATTTTTCTCTCCATTCCTACACCTCCACGTCGTGAATTCTTGACTCTCTTAAACCCTTGAGAAGCGCAGGTTATGACAGGCTGTTCCTGAACCTAGTCACCAACGATATGCTCCATCAATAAGCTCCCTGGTTTCGTTTGGACACGGCGTCCCCACAATAACGTTAAGCTTTGGCCTGGAACAACTCCTCGCCACGATCACGAATTGCCCTTGGGCGTTTCCAAAACCCAAGCGCTGTCTGGAGACCTCTACCACGCACTCTCCAGTTTGGCGATCGCATCTTCTTTTCTACTTCCTCGTCTGCCACAGCCATCAAAACGCCCAACGATTTGACTGGCATCCTTCACCATGGCGGCCGGCAGCGCTCGCTATGTGCGCTACATCCTAATTGCCTTTTTCGTACGTCAGCCCTCAAGGTGATGCCCCAGCTTTGCTGTGAAGACTTCCTGTTAACGCATGCGCTTTAGGTATTGGCAGTTTTCTACTTTATATCGGATTCTAGCAATGCGATTTCCCAAAATATTCCTATCCCCCATGGCAACAAGGGCACCGATGACCACGCCCACAAGGATGCCGTTTTAAACAACCAGCCCAACAGCCATGATGCTGCTGGTGATACCCACAACACCAAGAACAAGCCCGCGATCCCCAAGGTTGGCGCTAACATCGATCCCGCCGAGTACCCGCTGGCCATGACCCCAAATGACCCCGGATTCCACGATCTGTCCGGCATCAAGGGAGGACCCCGCGTTAACGCAACCTTCGTTACCCTGGCACGCAACTCTGACGTCTGGGAGATCGCCAAGTCCATTCGTCAAGTTGAGGACCGTTTCAACCGGAGATACAACTACGACTGGGTGTTTCTGAATGACCAGCCCTTCGACGACACTTTCAAGAAGGTCACAACATCCCTTTGCTCGGGCAAGACGCACTATGGTCTCATTGGCGAGGAACACTGGGGTTTCCCTGATTTCATCGACCAGGAGAAGGCCAAGAAGGTTCGCGAGGATATGAAAGAGCGCAAGATCATTTACGGCGACAGCGTCAGCTACCGCCACATGTGCCGCTTCGAGTCTGGCTTCTTCTTCCGTCAGCCCCTGATGATGAACTACGAATACTACTGGCGTGTCGAGCCCTCGGTCGAGCTGTTCTGCGACATCCACTACGATCCCTTCCGCTTCATGCACGAGAATGGAAAGAAGTACAGTTTCGTGCTCAGCTTGTACGAGTACATTGAGACCATCCCCACCCTGTGGGACAGTGTCACCAAGTTTATGAAGAATCACCCCGAGCACATTGCTGAGGACAACTCCATGGGTTTCCTGAGTGATGACGGTGGCAAGACGTACAACAAGTGCCACTTCGTAAGTGGTTTCTCTGCGCTCAATTTGAGGTGATGTGCTGCTAACAGTCTTCTAGTGGTCCAACTTTGAGATTGGTAGCTTGAGCTGGCTCCGCTCCAAGGCCTACATTGACTACTTTGAGTCACTCGACAGGGATGGCGGTTTCTTCTACGAGCGCTGGGGTGATGCCCCTGTGCACTCGATTGCTGCGGCCCTCATGCTTCCCAAGGACCAGATTCACTTCTTCAACGACATTGCCTACTACCACGTGCCCTTCACCCACTGCCCAACGGGTGAGAAGCTCCGCACGGACCTCAAGTGCCACTGCGACCCCAAGAACAACTTTGACTGGAAAGGGTATTCTTGTAAGCATCGATAAGGCCTCCTTCTTCTGGAAACATCCAGCTAACTGACTTCTTCTAGGCACATCAAGATACTTTGAGGTCAACGGTCTAGAGAAGCCCGAGGGCTGGCAAGACCAGACTGACTAAATTGTTTAGTGATGACCAATACAGAATAGCTGAGCTGTTTGGAGAAACAGGGATATTGATATAGAGTTGTACCAAATCCTATCGAGTTCATGACTGTTTTTCGTTTTTTTTATCTGTCTTTGTCTTACCGAAACATACAACCATCATCAACTCATGGTTGACAAACGTACTGGGTCGATTCTTTTTGCGGGAACTAAGGGACGGCCTCGAAATCACACCACAATGGAAGAACAACCGAGGGATATGCTAGGCAAGCAAGCGATGTTTCAGTCATGTTGGAAATAAGGAGGGTGGAAGGGATGGCGGATTTCGTCAGTATGGAAGTTGACGGTTTTTGGGAGAGTTTCTCGCTGTATATATTGTTACCTTTTCCCCTTGTGATCCTGCCATGGCTTAGACGAATGCGAATCCCATGGGAGTGTTTTGACGTTGACTCTTTTGTCATTGCTGAGCTGCTACGCCCAATTGGTGTTTTTAGATGATCTGTATAATACAATGATGTCCCTCCAATTTTGGCATGACCTGACCTAGCCGACCCTTCTCTTGATGTCCGCCTTCTCTCTGCCCAAGTCCAGCTCCCTTATTTGCCCACTCCATGGGTATCATTCCCCCTCATACGCCCCCATCCTCTTCAACCTTAAACCGTCGCCTTCTTAGGCTTCTTCGTCCCAAACTTACTCCTGCTGCTCACCCTGCTGCCCACACCGCCTAGATCGAGCGCTCCGCGCACCAGTCTGTACCGCACACCGGGACAATCCTGGGCTCTGCCGCCGCGGACTAAAACCACGGAGTGCTGCTGGATGTTGTGGCCTTCGCCGGGGATGTAGGCGGTGATGACCTTGCCGGTGGAGAGTCTCACACGAGCGGTCTTGCGCTCGCCAGAGTTGGGCTTTTTGGGCTTGGTGATGCCGACTTTTACGCAGACGCCTTTGAGCTGGGCTGCGTGGATTGCTGAGAGAGCGGGGGAGACGGGGTGGCGGGCTTTTTGGGGTTTTCGGCATCCCTGGGGAGGAAGGTTAGATATTGGGAAGGGGAGGGAGGAGGGGGGGGGGGGAGGGGTAGACGTACTCGGAGGACTTGGTTGAGGGTTGCGGATTGGGAGGGGGTGGTTGAGAAGGTTCTGATGGGGGAGGCGACAGGGAGGAGTGATGGTCTGAAGACCAGGTTTTTGAGAAGGGATGCCATGGTGAGAGAGCTGGGTGTGTGAATGGCGGACGAGACTGAAGATATCGCCGTCGTCGTCCTCGTCCTCGTCGCGAATTGGCAGGCCGGGCGATGGAAAGTATGGGATCCACAATTGTTTTCCTGGCTTAGCGCGGGCTGCTCATGACAATCACGGGATGTGGCACGTGCTTTCGCAACCTCCAAAAGCTGCCCCGGCAATTGTCGGTTCAAGTGGACCCCTCCCCCAGGTCAGATCACATGGCGTTCTCCATCGTGCGTCTCTCTCCCCGATGTGCGATGACGCTGCTGGGGGTTTGTCCGCGGGGAGCCGCTTGACTGGTTAGTGCAGATGTTACCTCGGCTTTTGGACTTGTTTCCTGATCGTCCCCTTCCGCCGTTGGAAGCGGATTGCCTGTGGTGTGCCATTCGGTGCTGTATTCCTCACTGTGTCCTCTGGGGGGAATACATCGTTAAGTGCTACTTGGCGGGTCCGTTTCCGTTGAAGAGAAACCGCCCCTCCGAACATAGATCGAAACTAGAGCAGTTCCTCCGGTGTGGTATAAAGACCGTTTAAGCTGCCCACCTTCCTTTTGTCCCTGGACTTTTTGTTTTTCTTGTGATTCCGTTTTCGATTTCCCGGTGCACCATCCCATACCGTTCAACGTCCACCCCGCCCTTTGTAGCGTTCCAACCGTCGTCTGTACCCTCCCTACGTTTAACATCACCGAGATGAGGCCCTTCGCGAGAGCATTGCGCCCTGCTGTGCGTAGAAGTCTGGCTGTTTCTGCCCCCAGGATATCCAGCGGGAGAACGGCTGCGCTTCCTGCTGTTCAGATGTGAGTTCAAGCTGCTGGTGTTTATGGGCAAGGAACTGTAGTTGACAGCCCCCCTCCCAGCGCTGCCCGTCCTCTTTCTACCACTGCTCCTCGCCGCGATCCCAGCCTTGCCGATGTCGCCCCAACACCCATCACCCACTTCTCCGAGACCGAGGTCGCCATGGCCGAGGCGGTCCAAAAGTTCGCCAACGACGTCATCCTGCCCAAGGTTCGCGACATGGACGAGGCCGAGGAGATGGATCCCACCATCGTCGAGCAGCTCTTTGAGCAGGGTATCATGGGTGTTGAGATTCCCGAGGAGTACGGCGGTGCCGGCATGAACTTCACCGCTGCGATTGTTGGTATTGAGGAATTGGCCCGTGTCGACCCATCGGTATCCGTCATGGTGGACGTCCACAACACCCTCGTCAACACTGCTGTGATCAGGTGGGGTAGCGAAACCCTCAAGAAGAAGTACCTCCCCAAGCTGGCCACCAACACCGTTGGCTCCTTCTGCTTGTCCGAGCCGGTTAGCGGTTCTGACGCTTTCGCTCTGGCCACCAAGGCTACCCCTACCGAAAATGGGTACAAGATCAACGGCAGCAAGATGTGGATCACCAACAGCATGGAGGCCGAATTCTTCATTGTTTTCGCCAACCTCAAGCCTGAGCAGGGATACAAGGGTATCTCCGCCTTCATCGTTGACAAGGGCATGAAGGGCTTCAGCATCGCCAAGAAGGAGAAGAAGCTCGGCATCAAGGCCAGCAGCACCTGCGTTCTCAACTTTGACGATGTTGAGGTCCCCAAGGAGAACCTCCTCGGTCAGGAGGGCCAGGGTTACAAGTACGCCATCCAGATCCTGAACGAGGGCCGTATCGGTATTGGTGCTCAGATGACCGGTCTTGCTCTCGGTGCGTGGGAGAATGCTGTCAAGTATGTGTGGAACGACCGCAAGCAGTTTGGAAAGTTGGTTGGCGAGTTCCAGGGTATGCAGCACCAGATTGCGCAGTCTTACACCGAGATCGCGGCGGCGCGCGCGTTGGTGTACAATGCTGCTCGCAAGAAGGAGGCCGGCGAGGATTTCGTCATGGACGCTGCCATGGCCAAGCTTTACGCCTCCCAGGTCGCTGGCCGTGTGAGCGGGTTGGCGGTGGAGTGGATGGGTGGTATGGGCTTCGTCCGTGAGGGTCTGGCTGAGAAGTTCTTCCGTGACAGCAAGATTGGCGCCATCTATGAGGGCACGAGCAACATTCAGTACGTTCTTGTCTCTTGTCTAGCTAACCGGACTATTGCTAACAGAATCCTGCAGGCTCAACACCATTGCGAAGATGTTGCAAAAGGAGTATACCGCTTAGGTTGTTTTCTTTTGTCACTCTGTTTGAAGCATACATTTGAACCGGAGTTATCTTTTTGCATGGGCGGTTTCCTTAGGCCTGAAAATGGAGGGCTTGTTTTTGCCTCGTTGAGAGCTATAAACCATATGAATACCATTTACACAATACATATCGTGAATGAACCAGGATCTGCTTGTCTTGCGGTATGTCTTGGCGTTTTGAAGGTGAAGTGGATTCTGGGGAAGTCCAGAAAACAGACTTGCAGCCCTATGGATGGGGATTGAACTTGCAAACTTTCCATGTCCGCACCTTGTGAGATGTACAATGCAGTATTGGCAGATGTTAAGGTCGTGAGATATTCCTTGCATGTCTCTTCATCTACACCGAGACCGATGGGAGAGGAGGAAAAGCAAACGGGCCGACATGATGGGCCACATCTCGGCTGTAACCATACTCAACAATGCAGACAAACATGTTCCTTCCAAGGCTGCCATAGATCGCTCGGCCTCTATTGAGGTTGGAAGATCAGACTCGGACACCTTCTCGGTAGACCGGGTCCAGAGTACGAAGGTACCCAAACGCCCGGCACGGACGGATGAGCACAACAAAGTCCTACGAGCAGTCCTAGCGACGAGTCGGAAATGAACAGAAGCATATCAGCCGTAGCGAAAACGCCAACCTCATCCACACTGAAAGATGAGATATATGCAATATGGCTTCAAATCTGACAAGCCGTTATCGGTCCTGCCAAGACCACCCCAATTAATACCTTAGGGCTCTGAAGCACAGCCGGCATGATCCCAAGTGGTGGTTTCCGGGATGCAACGCGATTCGATGTGAGATTTTTGGATTGCATGTCGAGAGTTGACCGACGTTGCGCATTGCCATGCTCACAGACGGAAAGCAAGGCACCTCATGGAGAAATCGAGACACTGCCCCTCACTCGATGCTCCACTTCCCTGCCTGACTGTGACTGTGTGACGGGGCTGAGAAGCACTGGCTATCAGCAAGACATTTCTTGATGGAATGAAGATTTGATCCCGTCCGTACTTCTCGTCCACGCCATCCCAACTTCCACCCGATATCTCTCGCCCATCCCCGTAGTTCAGGAGTGCAGTACGGAGTACGGGCTGTTTATCTGATCAACAACACGGCTGTGCCACCTCAACCACGGTGTGAAAGTGAGCTACCCCGCAGCGCGCCACTTGGTCAAGCTATCGCTTGGCTTTGGGACTCGGTGCATGGGCCAGGGTTCAACGACCAGGTGAACCTCGTCGTCAACAGTGGCCGATAGACAAACCTTGAGCAAAAGCTGAAAAAGTGGCCACAAGCAGGCGAGGTTCGTGACAGCCTTGTTCCAGCCCGTGGAGGCGAAGCTCTTTCTTTGGATGACCACGGCACATATCAACCAAAACTTTTGGTAGAAGCGCAAAAGCCCGAATTAGCGCAGGCCTATCTTTGTGAGTCCTATTATTCCCGTTGCTTTGCCAATCCTCATTCATTCCCGGCATCTTCCCCTTCAGCAACAGCGCCCAGCAATAGAGAAGAGCATACCCAGCTCTAGTCCCCAGTGCGCCTCCACACCACCAGCTCCCACAGCAACCCAAGTTGGGTGGATAGCCAACATTTCCACGCTTCGCTGCCAAACACTACCCACCGACTCTCGCATCCCAGGTGCTGCAGTGGAAGGAAGGAGTCGCCGCAAGGTACCGTGGCCAAGTGTGTCTCCCCAGAGCTGTTTCCAAATGCGAAACACATCAACCCCGCCATAACCCAGCACTGACGACATCCCATCTCGAGTCGCTCGCAAACAGCAACCTCCGCGTCCTGATCGGCGGGCTGGTACGCCAGTGGCTCTTGCCCTACGACACTAGCCAACATCCTAAAGAGAAAAAGTCTTCCTAACAACCTCTGTTATCACAGTATCCCTTAATAGTCCCCGTTTTCACCGCGCGCCCGGCCGCGCACCAACACCGCCGCCATGACCGACGACGACAAGATTGTAGACATCACGAAGAAGATTGAGCGGGAAAAGGCCCTCATTAATGCGGCACTGGTTATGCGGCAGCAGACCCTCAATGATACCGTACGACAGAAACTCGACAGCCAGGTCCGCGAGGGCCGCCGGAACCTTGCTTTCTTCGAGAGCAGGCTGAAGGAACTGGAAATGCGCCGTGTGAACCAGTCCATGGATAACATGTCACTGGGCGGATCAACATTGGCCTCCACCAGAAGCAGCGAATATCAACACGACGACAGCGGACGACCTGCACCTCCTCCCAAGGATGGGTCCGGATATCCTTCAAACTATGGTGGCCAGGCACCCTACGGTCCTGGTGACCTGATGCCTCCTCGAGGCCCCTTCCCTGCTGGAGCGCCAAATTCATCGATCCCCAAGTCCCGCCCCAACTTTTCAAAGCTTGGTACGTTGTGACCACACGAGCCAAGTTCGATATGTACCTTCCAAGAATACTAACATCTGCGGTGTTACAGATCTTATCAAGTATGACACTCCCCATCTCGGACCACGTATTCAGCACATGCTGTCGCAACTTCAGTTCAAGCTCAACGTGGAGGAGCAGTATCTCAAGGGTATCGAAAAGATGGTTCAGCTTTACCAGATGGAGGGCGACAAGAAGAGCAGAGCGGATGCTGCCGCTAAGCGCGTCGAGAGTGGACAAAAGATCATACTCTTGAAGCAAGCACTCAAGAAGTTTGAGGAGCTGAATATCGATATGGATGCAGATTCTCAGGATGGTATGCGTGCTCAGTTCCACCAGATATCCTTCCATGTTGAAGTTTGTCTACTAACGATGTAATCTCACAGATGATAGTATCAACAATGGCCTAATCTACGCAAGCCTTTATCCGGTCAGCTCTCGGTTCGCATCGTCGCTGTTAAGGAAGTTGACCATGCGCCTCTGACCCGCTTTTCCCGCTCCCCCGAGACGTTTATCACACTCAAGGTGGAAGATGCCATCGTGGCGAGGACCAAGGCCTCCCGCAACGACAGATGGGAGTCGGAATACCACAGCATCTTCGTGGACAAGGCCAACGAAGTGGAGTTGACGGTATACGATAAGCCCGGTGAGCACGCTGTGCCCATTGGTCTTCTTTGGGTCAGAATCTCCGACATTGTGGAAGAGATGCGCCGGAAGAAGATCGAAGCCGAAACTACTGCCCAGGGATGGGTGTCTGCCGACCGACTTGGGTCTCATGATGCCCGCGGTGGCCCTCCTCCTGCACAGTTCCCTATGGGCGCACAGGCTCCCCAATTCCAACCACCCCCGACATCTCCAGGACGGTTCCACGGTTCTGAAGACGACCCGCAGTTCTTAGCCCCGAGACCTGATGTTGCCCCCGTCATTCCACAATCGGTTGAGGGCTGGTTTGCACTGGAACCGGCAGGCCAAATCTTCCTCAATCTCAACTTCGTCAAGGATACCAGCGGTCGCGGTAGACCCGCCGACGCTGGTCTTGGACGCAAGGGTGCCGTGCGTCAGCGCAAGGAGGAGGTTCACGAAATGCAGGGCCACAAGTTCGTCGAGAAACAGTTCTACAACATCATGCGCTGTGCCCTCTGCGGTGAATTCCTCAAGTACTCGACGGGCATGCAATGCGAGGATTGCAAGTACACTTGCCATACCAAGTGTTACTCACAGGTGGTCATCAAGTGCATCAGCAAGAGCAATGCTGATAGCGACCCCGACGAGCAGAAGCTCAACCATAAGATCCCCCATCGTTTTGTTCCTTTCTCAAATTTGACCGCCAACTGGTGCTGCCACTGTGGCTACATGCTTCCAATTGGTTCGAAGAAGAACTCTAGAAGATGTACAGGTAAGGGCTTCAGCTAGCTCAAACCCCTGAAGTCAAATGATTTTTAGATTGTTGACCATGCTGACTCGCTGGATAGAATGCCCGTTGACTGCTCACACTCAGTGTGTGCATCTTGTTCCCGATTTCTGTGGCATGTCCATGTTGCAGGCAAATCAGATCTTGCATAGTATCAAGATGGCGGCAGAGCAGCAGAGGACCAAGAAGGAGAAGGCCAAGAGCGGCTCCGCATCATTGAGCGAAAAGACGCTGAGGACGGGCAGCAAAGGAACCACGAGTAGCGTTGGGTCCAGTTCGACTTATCCGCCCGTTTCCTACACCCCTTCAACCGCTTCAGCCGACGCTACTGAAGCTGCAAAGCATATGTACAGCCAGGGGTCCCCCCAACGTGTTTCTGGACCAGATCGGACGTCCATAAGCTCAAGCGCTGCCTCCGCCGCAGCTGCCGCTGCCATGTCCCCCAAGCCCCAAACTCCCACACAGCAAGCCCCGATACCTGATTTTGGGCCAGGACATTATGGTTCACCTGGTGGATATGGACGTCCTGGCCAGCAAGATGATATGTATGGTGGATCGCCAGCTCAGCATCAGCAACAGCCTTATGGCCAGCAGCCTCAGCAGCGCAAGTACAACCCCGCCGACTACGCCAACATCGGGGCTTACCCCGTGCAACAACCAGCGCAGCCCCGCCCCGTTCAACCACAGTCGCCTCCCCAGCAGGTAGCCCCGCATCACCAGCAACCGATGTACCAGCAGCAGTCTCAGCCCGTCTTGCATCAACAGCCGCCCAAGCAGCAGCCGTTGCCGGCGCAAACTGAGCCTGCCATGATTGTGCCATCGGCGTCGGGCGTGCCGGTTCCGACCAAGAAGCCGCTGCCCTCGGCCACCGACCCGGGCACTGGCATGCGCATTGGTTTGGACCACTTCAACTTCCTCGCCGTGCTTGGTAAGGGTAACTTCGGCAAGGTCATGCTGGCCGAGACAAAGCGATCTCGCAAGCTGTATGCCATCAAGGTGCTCAAGAAGGAGTTCATTATAGAGAATGACGAAGTGGAGAGCATCCGGTCAGAGAAGCGCGTCTTCTTGATCGCCAACCGGGAGCGCCATCCCTTCCTAACCAACCTTCACGCTTGCTTCCAGACCGAAACGAGAGTGTACTTTGTGATGGAGTACATCAGCGGTGGCGA